CCACGTGTGTGCTTCCATGTCTCTGCGGGCACCACCTCTGGATCTGCTTGCATGAGTGTTTTCACAGGTGCTTGTCACTGCAGGTGCCCCTCCACATGCACTTGTAGGTTTCTGTTTTGCACCTGTCTCTTTCTTCATGTATGTCTCTTGTGGATCCCTGGCTGTGCATTTTTCTAAGGTGTCAGTGTATTCTGAGACAGGATGAGGACAGGCTTAAGACTTATGCATAGGGAAGGTGGTCAGGCTCACAGACGGTGCCACCCCAGGGAGCCTGTGTGTGTGTGTGCGCGGGTGTGTGCCTGTGTGTGCACAGAGATACCACAAAGCCTGGTAAACACGGGTGAGAAGGTCATGCTGACAGACGGTGCTGCCTGCCCCAGGACCCTGCAAGGCGTCTCCATCTGTCAGCTTCCCTGGTATGGCCCCCTCCCTCTGGCCCAGACTCTGCCTCAGGCATCCCAGCCTGAGCTGGACAAAGAACTGTGTGTGCTTTGTAGGGGGCCTCAGCAGCCTCCCTCCCCCCAGTCACTTTAGCCTGTCCAGGCCAATCCTCCTCATCTGTCAGGACCCCAGCACATGCCCCAGCTCCCACCAGACTCCCCTTGCTGCTCTCCCACCACCCTACTTAGCCTTTACACAGGCAGTTTTCTCCCTTCCTCCTAGAAAGCTTTCTGCCTTCCATGCTCCAGTGTCTCCTGTTCTTGAATCTCCTCCTCCAGGAAGCCACCAAGATAGCAGGGGAGCTGTGATGAGCTCCTCCACTGTTGTGAGACCTCAGCCACGCTCCAGCCTCCTTTTCTGAGACTTAGACGCCCTCCCCACCCCCAAACCCCACATATCCTGTCATCCTTCCTGCCCTCAGGGCAGCAAAACCTCTCCAGGGAAGGGTCTGGTCTCCCCCGATGCAGTATCTAAACCCCCCGCACAGTGGGATGCGGGAGCCATTCACGTGTGCACACACCACAGGTGCACACAGATCTGTGCCGGTAGGGCAGACTCTTGGAATGTGTGTGCATGCTACCTGTACGTGCAGGCAGAATCCACAGACGGGTGTAGAAAGTGAGACCCCCGCCTACCCCTAACGCCGCCGTGGCCTTTTCTTTCTGTCCAGGTGACTCCCTTGTCAGAGAGCCCTGCCCCAGAGACAGATACTGCGGACACCCGGCGCTGAGGCAGATATGGAGCCTACCCGCACTGCGCTGGGTTCCTGGTGCAGGGCCAGGGACACCCGTTACTGGAGCTGAAGCGGGAGGGTTCCCGGAGTTCGGGAGCAGGGACCTGGCAGCGGGTGCGGCCGCTCCACCCAGGCGGGAAGGGCGGGGCCGGTCGGTCAGGCCGAGGGCCGCGGGCGCGCGCGCTCCTGCAACGCAGCCCTTCTGCCGCGGCGCCCGCCTCTCCGCCGTCGCCATGGTTACCGGGTGGCCTGGAAGGGGGAGGGGCACTTACTCCCGCGCCGGCATCCCCTCCACCCGCAGGACGCGTTTTGACCGGTGCATCCCGTTGTTGAATGGTGGGTGCGTGCCTGTGGATGTCCACGTGTGGGGGACCCTGGGGGTGGCTTTGCGGTAAATAAAAATGTCGCGGCGTGTGTGCAGGGGTCTGCAGTGGAGCCAGAATCCGGCCGAGGGCGTGGTATTGGGGGAGGGGCGCAGATCCCCCAGGGATATCCCTCCTCTCCCCTCCCCCCGCCGTGCCTGGCCCGGGGGGGTTCACACCGGTCAGGAGCGTAGGGGCTGGGGGCCTACCAGCTGCTGTCATCCCAGCCCTATCTCCAATTTAGCTGTGTGACCTTGGGCGGGTTTCTAGATCTCCCTCAGCTCCCATTTGCTCTTATATCTCATAAGGTATTGGTGAAGATTAAATTACTTTGTAAAGCATTTAAGCATTTTAGCATAGTACCCGGACGGTAGTAAATGCTCTGTAAACGTAACTTATTATCCCTCATATCTGAGCCTCAGTTTTCCTGGTTGTTGATGGGTTTGGAGTGATGTGTGCCGCCAGCCTGAGGAATTTGCCCTGGGCCTTAGCCTGAGTGGACCCAGCTCCTACAGGCGCTTGGGGTCTGAAGGGGATAAGTGCGCCAGTCTGGTGGGTGGTCCGTTTACATCAGGATGCCCAGCGCTCAGCTGGGCCAGACACACGCGGGCATCAGGAGACGACTGTTGTCCTTGGCTGTGTTTGAATATGCCGGAGGCCCCCAGTGGGAGAGAAGGAAGAGGCAGCAGTGGGTCACTCCTGAGGGGCCGGAGTCCTCCTGTGAGACCCACTTCCCCTCCCGGAGGTGGCAGAACTGCAGCCTTCCCAGTGCTGTCTAGAAGCCTAGTTGGCACAAGGGACTGGCTTTTGGGTCCCGCTGTTTTATGGACAGCTCTTCACACATGCTGGTTTTAGGCTCTGGCGGCAGTGCTTGAGGGATGATCTGAGCCAAGGACAGAGCCATTGAGGGCACAATAATTGAGGGAAGAAAATTAATTGTCCTTAATTTGGCGTAAATCCCAAAGACTTTCCCCGTGTCAGGAATTCAGAGTAGATTCCCAGGACACGGGGCTTGCCAACGTTTGTACTTCTTCCCTTCTCATTGATCAGTAACTTGCAGGTAGAGGCAGAGGCCAGTTCACTCCTGGGCCCTGACTTTGGCAGGCCCTGGTCACTTCTCACTACCAAATTGCTCAGGAGGGCTGAGCAGGTAGGAGTGAGGTTTGAGAAGAGCTAGACTGGTGCCCTGTGGGCAGGATGGCTCTAGCAGCTGTGAGTGTCCCCCAGTTGTTGGGGGTGGGGGCAGAAAGTGACCCTGGGCCTATGTCCTGCTCAGGCCTTCCTGTGAAAGCAAGTGGCAGCGAGGCCAAAGGAAGCTGTTCCCCTGCTTGGTGCATCCTGAGTCCTCTTCATTTGTATTCTCTCTCCCTTTTCTTGCCACCGTTTAACATTTTCCTTTTAAAAATCAAAGCTGAGGGCCGGCCTGGTGGCGCACTGCGCTAGTGCGCCACTTGGGAAGCGTGGCGGTGCTCCCGCCCAAGGGTTCGGATCCCACATACGGACCGGTTCCCGCTCACTGGCTGAGCGAGGTGCGGGGGCAACACCGAGGGTTGCGATCCCGTTGCCGGTCCCGGTCCGGTACGGGGGCGACACTGAGGGTTGCGATCCGTTGCCGGACACGGAAAAAGACAAAAAGGAAAAAAAAAAAAAATCAAAGCTGAAAGTCAGGGTGCTGTGGGATCATATTTACAGGCAAGGAGACTCTGGGTTTACATCTGGAATTTATAGGGCTGTGGGTGTGGAAGTGATCAGCCAGCCCTGGGATAGGCTGGGGAGGCAAGGATGTGTTGGGAGTTCTACTGCTCTCTAGCCCTAGACCCTTTCTCTCCTGAGGGGCCATAGTTCCTTTGGGATGCCCCTGGCAGCCGGAGTCTTGGTAGAGCTCCCCACTGGGCTCTGGCAGCAGGTAGAGGGGTGTCTTGCACCTGCCTGTTGGGGCTCTTCCAACTTCCTCTCCTGCCTGCCCCCCTAATCACTTCCCCTGGGTCTCCGAAAGTCTCCAGGGAGGGCCAGCTCTGCCAGCCTTAACTTTCTTCCCTTCGGAGGATGCCATGTGCTTTTTCCCAGGCAGGAGCCTGACCTCGGCTAATGTTCCCACACACCTATCTTGTGGTGGGCCTGCAGGAGGGAGGAGTGGAGTAGTGGAGCTGGTCTCCTGGTCTCCCCCACCATGGAGCCCAGCTTCCCCACAGAAGATGGACAAAGGACAAATGTTCCCCTTTCCCCCATTGGGTGTGCCTGACATCCACAGTGGCAGAGAGGGTCTGTGGAGTTCTCATAAACAGTTGGCGGTTTGGTCCTAGTGTGGAGGACCTCTCACCAGCCTGGAATGGCAAAGGGGGCCCCAGACCTTAGTCTCAGTACTTGTCTGCCCTTACTAGTTGTGATAATGCCAGCTGATATTAATCAGATGTGGTTCTATGTCAGGCGTTCCCCATGCCTTGCATATGTTTTCGGGAGTAGCCCTCACGATAGCTTTACACGGTGGGTACTTGAACCTCGTGTATACATGCAGAGACACAGAGAGGATACGTAATGCAACCAGGCCCTAGAGATAGTTAGTGGTGGAGATGGGAATCCCACTTGGTCTACACTAGTCCAGAGCCTGTCCTCCCAGCTCCTTGTGCTTCCAAGAGGTAGGGAGAGGACAGCCTTGCCCCCAGCCCCTTACAGCTGGTGCAGGAGTCCACGCACAATGGGTGTAGGCTGTACCGCTGATGACCGTTCTTGTTGCTCCCGTGGAAGTGACTCCTGTGAGCCATCAACCCCAAGCTGGAAGAAGCAGCCAGGAAAGAGTTTTGCCTCCCCTCATCAGATGGTTCCCAGGGTCAGGACTGAGTGAGGGAGAAGGCTCAGGGTCAAGGCTGCAGTAGAGAACGGGTCAGGGGCAGGAGCCAGGTTAGAAGAGGATCATTGGCAGGGCAGGGGTGCCCAGGATCAGGACTAGAACCCAGGCTTTGACCTGGGCTGTGCCCTGTGTTGGAGCTGAGGCTGGATGCAGGCAGTGGAGGGAACACTGTGTGGGGGCAAGGGAGTGGGGGCTAGACAGCACAGGGGCCTTCAGGCTGAGCTGTGGCTGTTGATGCTGCATGAGCAGGGCCCCCCACAGCCTGGCATCCATACAGAGCTTTGCGCTTTGGCCAGCAGAGACACTTCTAAGGGCCTAGAGAGACGAGCGCTAATGCCTTCAGTCTGCGGCATTGCTCCTCAGAGCTGGAAACTCCCTGACAGTGCAGGGGTGGGTCCCACTGCAGCCCCAGCCCTGTTGAGGGGACTCAGAATCCTGGTTGCTCACATTGAGGTGTGCTTTTTGCTTAGAAGTCAGGGATGGGGAAGAGAAAAATGTCTTGAGGATCCCAGCCAACCTGGGAGTTAGGAAGCTGTCCACAGAAGGGTCCTGACTCGGGGGGTGGGGTGGGGGTGGGGGGCCAGCCTTAATGTGCACGTTGCTCTCTGTCTGCAGAGGAACAGCTGCCCCCTGGCTTCCCCTCGATCGACATGGGGCCTCAGCTGAAGGTGGTGGAGAAGGCACGCACAGCCACCATGCTGTGTGCAGCAGGCGGGAATCCAGACCCTGAGATCTCTTGGTTTAAGGACTTCCTCCCTGTGGATCCCGCCACGAGCAATGGACGCATCAAGCAGCTTCGTTCAGGTGAGCAGAAGGCAGGGGTCAAGGGGCCACTCAGACCTCAGGAAGGTGTCTTGCCAGACACAGCACAGCCTTCCCTCTTGGGCCTGGGTGCCTAGGGCTGAGTTCCAGGGCTGAGCAGAGGGCACCCGATGGGGCTTGGCAGATCGGATCTTGCTATGGCCCTCATGGCCGAGCAGAGAGAGCATGGTGGTGAGAGCTCATTGTTGGCTGTGCCTTTACCTTCCTGGCGTTGTCAGACTCCAGACTTTGGACCTGTCCTGCTCTTCGCAGTGTGTGTGGTAGGCCCTGCAAAGGTGCTCCATGGGTATTCATCCTCACCTTCCCTGTGGCTGGCCAGGACAGGGCCTGGGTGATGCTCTCTTTGCTTCTTCAGATAGCAAGACTTAGCCAGGAAAAGAGGCCTGATTCATCAGGCTTCAAAAGGCTGGACCTCAGGGGCCTGGAGCCAGGGGGACTTGCTACCATCCCTCGGCCACCAGAACCGCCTGTCTCCCTTGAATGTCTCAGTCGAGCCAGCTTGGAGCCTTGGGAGCAAGGATTCTGTCATGACCAGGTGGGAGGTGTCGCCCCATTGATCGATCAGCCTGTGAGGCTCCCGCCAGGATAATTGATTCAGTTTTTGTGGGAACGGAGCGGGCGGGAAAGGAGGCTCGGAATCAGCTTGGCTGCATTCTGCATCTGCTGCCAGCACGGGCTGGCCCAATAGACCTTGCTCCAGAAGCGCTCCTGCTAGCTGTAGGATGGCGGGCCTCAGGTGGGATGGCCAGCGTCGGCCAGGACCCCTGCTGCCCATCAGCTGTGATGTCAACATGGAAACTGAGAACATGACTCTGCCCCTTTTGGGGCCCTGCAGGCTTCAGAGGCTCCCCATCACTCCCTGGGGTGCCAGTCCCTCTGCACCACCTCCCTCCAGGCGCATGCCCCCTCAGTGCCCAGTGAGAGGAGGGAGAGATGAGTGGCCCAGGAGGGCCGGATTCCGGCCCTAGCCACAGCCGCCTGAGACAGCCCACGAAGTGTTAGCTCATTTAATTTAATTAAAACTCAACAAGATGGAGGCAGCTGTAGCGCAGTTAATTAAAACAGCCATAATCAAGGCAGGAAATGGTCCGGCAGCATTTGTGACCACTGCCCAGTGCTGCACGGTGGCCGGCACAGTTTTGCTCTTCTACATCTCCTCACAGGTCCCCTGGGCAGGCTCCCCAGGCAGTCAGGCAGTCATCCCCGCAGGCCTGGCCTCTCCCTCAGAACAGCACTGCCTGTGGCAGCAGCTCTGGGAGGGCTCACCATCTCGCGCGTTCATTCATCAAGCATTTATGTGGTGCTCGCTGCGTGCTGTGTGCCAGGCCTGTGCCACCCCTGCCCTGCCCATCCCTCCACTAGATACTGGTCGGTTCTCATCCTCCCCGCCTCAACAGCAGCTGGCATGCATCCCTCCCTCCTTCTGGACTGCTCCCTCCCCCTTTTCCCTGGCCCTCCAGGGCTCTGCCTCTCCTGACTTTTCTTTGCATGTCCCTTCCCTGCAGCCTCAGAAGCCCCACCCTCAGCCCCCAGGCGTGCGGCCTTTCCCTGGCGAGCTCACCCACTCCTGTGGCTTTGGCTGCCGTCTCCTCGCCTGCCATCTCCTCGCCTGCCATCTCCTCGCCTATAACTCCTGCTTCAGTCTCTCCAGCCCAAACATCTTGCCTGAGCTCTAGACCCAAAAACAAGTGTGCCTTCTGGATGTCACCCTGACCAGGATGAGTGATGACCTCCTTTCCAAACAGCCATGTCCTTATCCCATTGACCCTCTCTGTGTGAGTGGCAGCCTCCCAGCTTACTCCAATAAGGAACCAAGTTCTCTTGATTTATCACACACTTGGCTCTTAAACTGGCCACCTTCTCTCCTTCTGCTGCCTTGGTCCTATCCCAGGGCACCAAACACTGCTCTCCCTGCCTCCAGGCTCTCCCTGAGAATCCATCTTCCAGCAGCTATCAGAGTTTTCTGCTCGTGTCCCTCCTGTGCTGTGACAACCTCACTGGTGTTTCCTTGCGTATATGTGCCTCTCCCTGCCTCCAGGCTCTCCCTGAGAATCCATCTTCCAGCAGCTATCAGAGTTTTCTGCCCGTGTCCCTCCTGTGCTGTGACAACCTCACTGGTGTTTCCTTGCGTATATGTGTGTGCTCCTGAACTTGGCACGTAGAGCCCTTCTTGATCTTCCTCTGCCCACATCTCCAGCTTTATCTCATCAGTCCCGGCTGCACCACTTACTAGCTCTGTGGCCTCAGTTAAGTTATTGACCTTCTCTGAGCTTCAGTTTCCTCATCTTTGAAAGGGAGGCGCAGCAAGGAGTGAGGCAGCGTCACTGAGCACTGGAGTTCACTGCCTGGCCCGTGGTAAAGGCTGCGTGGACAGAGCTCTTCTCCCTCCTGCCGTTCTCCCACTCTCACTGAGTCACACTGACCCGCTCAGGCTACCCGTTCAAGACTCACCCTGCTTTACATTGTTGGTCTCCAGCTCTAGTTCTGCTCACCTAGGCTGGCAGGGAGGGCCTGGGTCTGACTGCATGATGAGGTCCCCCCAGCACAAGCCCGGCTCTGGGACAGGTTTCTCTAAGCTCTGTTGAATGAATGATTTCATGAACCTGACCTTTGGGGCTTGTCCCTGCAAACTCATGTGCACTCCTCCCCTTGTTTCCCACGTCCAAGGAAGACGTCCTTGTTTGACCTTTCCTGCCACTTGGGAGCTGTGATCTTAAGGGTTGTGGGCCTAGGGATTGAGGCTGACATCTGGGATGGAGCTAGGTGACATTTGAGGCCTGAATCATTCCCATCTCTGCAATAATGACAGGGCTCCCCTCATCCCTGCCTGACCCCAGCCTGTGACCCTTGACCTCAGTAGCTGCTGTCCATATCCCATTGCCATTTAAAGAGTACTGAGGCTATTCCATGCACATTCTACAGGGACATCCCTTCATGGAGTGGACTCAGGCCCCCAAGCGCTTTGCTGTTTACAAGGACTTTCATGGTTTACACATCACTGACAGTTTACAAAGTGCTTTCCCGCCTTTTGTTGCAGCTGATTCTCCTGCAGCCTTGTGAAGTAGGACAGGCTGTGATTATCATTCCCACTTCATAGCGCATGTGTGAGTTAAGGGGTCACACATGGAGACTCCAGGCTTGGGAGATTCCCTGTGAGGTCACCCTGGGGCCTTCTTGTATCACTTATACTAAGCCTGGGGCCTGAGGAGCTGCATAGTCCCATACTTTGCAGACCTCAGGCCCCCACCAAGCAGTACCCAGAACTTCTCTGGCATCTGTGACCTGCCTCAGCACATCTAAGCAGGATATGACCCTGGAGCAGTAGCTGGACAGGAGGCAGCTGGCGGCATGCACTGCCCAGGTGTAAGGTGTGAGCTCTGCTCAGCAGGCCCTTTCCTCACTGCAGTGACAAGACATGCTGCCACACAGCCTTGTGGAAAACCTGAACTTGAGACTCAGGGTGGGTCCAAGAGGAACGGGAATAAGCTCAGAGAGAGTGGAAATGGTGTCGCAAGCAGGCAGAGTCAGGAGCAGTCAGCGTCATGTCAGCAAGGAGGGGCTGACCTCTGGGTGCGGCTCAGAGCCACTGCTGGGTCTTGAGAGGAGCCGTTGGCCTGTGAGCTCTGCCAAGCCTGGGGAGGGCCCCAGGAGACTTCCCATACTCTCACTGTGGCCCAACTGGGCGAGCTGCCGTCCCTGTCACCATGGAGAACACCTCACTGAGAGCGATCTCTTCCACACCCCCAGTGTGCTTGAACGTCTGAGTGACCTGGAGCCTTCAGAAGAGACGGCAGCATGTGGCTGCAGGAGGAGGCCCTCTGGGCCCAGCTATGACAGGAAGAGCCTGTCCACCCCTCTCTGCTCCGCCGTCAGCCGGCTCTGCCAGCAGGGCATGCTGTCAGAGCATGGTCACAGTTTCCCTTTGGCCCTGAGCTTGTTGGTACCTGTCAGGCATGAGCACAACTCTGGGGACACTTACTCCCAGGTCCTCCTCAGGCCCCACACCCTTCTTGTGAAATGGAAAAGGCAAATTCTTTCAGTTTGGTGGAGAAATTACTTTTGAGAGGTGCAGAGTCCTGTCACATAGCAGGTTGGGTTTTGGAAGAGCTGAGGCCAGGAGCCCAGAGGTCCTGGCCCCTGGACCATGTTCACTGCCACCCCTTCTCCAAGATCTGGCCTGGACTGAACTATGGGAATACGCAGGTTGGGTTTTGGAAGAGCTGAGGCCAGGAGCCCAGAGGTCCTGGCCCCTGGACCATGTACACTGCCACCCCTTCTCCAAGATCTGGCCTGGACTGAACTATGGGAATAGATTAGCCGTTGTCCACTTTTTGGTCTCAGGACCTCTAATTGTAAATATCAGAGGACCTCAAAGAACTTTAGTCTGTGTGCATCATATCTGTCAATATTTACCATGTTAGATATTAAAACTGAGAAGATTTAAATTTTATTAATCCATTTAAAAGTAGTTTTTAAAAACCCTGTTACATGTTAACATAACGGTTTTAAATGAAAAACAATTGTATTTTCTAAAACAAAAAAAATTAGCGAGAAGAAAAGGATTGTTTTACACTTTTACAAATCTCTTTACTTTGGGGCATCATAGAAGGAGCTGGATTCTCCTGTCTGCTTCTGCATTCGGTCTGTTGCGATATCACAGGTCATGTGTCCTCCAGAAAACTCCACTGTATGTTCATGAGAGAAAGAAGGTGAATAAGACAAATAATATGTTAGTATTATGAAAGTAGTTTTGACCTTGTGGACCCCCTAAAAGGGCCTCGAGGACCCCTGAAGATTCCCTGAACAGCATCTGGAGAATCACTGTGCTGATTCTCCCCAATGCTCCATGCACGCCTCCCACACCCCGCAGGTCCCAACTGCTGCCTTCCCTTCTCCCCAGGCTCTGCGAGTACAGAAAGCAGCCTCGTCCCCTGGTAAGACTGTGAGCTAGACCCAGGCCAATCCTGCCACCTCACTTACAAGCTGCATGACCTTGGGCTTTGGGCAAGTCAGTTAATGTTTCTTGGCCTCTTTCCTCATTTGTACGCAAGATGGGTAATTCTTCCAGATGGGTGGTGTTAAGTTGGATGAGACAGTGATCTGTGTCTGTCTCTCTGTACACATCCCATGACCCAGAAGTAGGCAGAGAGTGGGTAGGGTAGAGCTGGACCTGGGTCCACCCACAGCCTCCTCTCTCCTGTGGATGAGGCTGTATTTGAACAGGGGGCCCAAACCTCAGAGGAAGCCCCTTTTGGAATGGGAAGCGGCTCTGATCCCAGCATAAGCGTGGATCTAGAGGGCAAGTGCCCTGCTCTCTTGGCTGCAACTCCCAGCATTGTGAGACACTGTACAGGCAAGGGGTGGCACTGGCCTCTCTGCCTCTCGCCCGTGAGGCTCAGTAGGCACTCCATCTTTAGCAGGGGTGAGTGGGCTTTATAGGGAGTCTGCCACTGGGGTGTGAGGTTACCGAGTCCTGCCGCCCCCACCATTGCTGGGGCTGATCTGTTTGTTTGTGGGAGACCTGGTCTGGTGGTAGCCTGTGGTGAATCCTCCCTTTAACACTTTCTCTGTCTGCTTTAACACCCTGATTTGTTTTGGTAAGTGCCTTGTTTTGAAATCTTACCCACCTGTGGGATTTGGGTGGCCCTGTGGGTGGGTTTGCTACCTCTCTTCTTCACCTGCCCCCATTGGCCCCAGCCAGCAGGGTCTGCAGGAGCCCTGGCTCACCTTCCTGATTCCCTGCACCCCCTGCTTCCTTGACTACCACCCCTGCCCCCACTCTCCCCCACCCCAGAGCAATGCAGCGACCTGGGGACACAGCTACACCCACACTCAGCCTAGCTCAGCCTGGTGCCTGCTCACACATCACCCGCGTTGACCTAACTCAGTCCTCAATTTCTCCATGTATTTAAGGCCCTTTCTCGTGTTTTATTTGATCTGATTTGGCTTTGTGTGGCTTTCCTTCCTTTTGTACTAATGCTTCTCTCTGATCTTATTTGCATTCAAATTACCTCGCCAGGTGGTTCACCAATCAGAGGTAAGAATGCTGTCCGTGCATCTCGCCACGCCACTGCCGTCACCTCCACTCCATCCCGTCCAGTCCGTCACCTCCCCATCCCCATCCCGACCTCTTCAGCCTCCTCATCTCCAGCTCTGGTCCCCCAACACCACCGGCCACCACACACATCCACTCTCAGTCATTCCCTCCTGTGGACTCATCCATTGCAAGTCTGAATTGTGGAGATACAAGCTGAGGCCACCTTGGGGATGGCAAGCCCTGCTGCCCAGGCCTTCCACGCCAGCCCCACAGAGGGGACCCTGTTGGCTCCTGCAGTGAGGCCTGGCCTGTCCCCCAGGCTGCTGTAGATGGAGAATCTTCCTGTGAGATTAGGGAGCATGAACAAGCCTTCCCTTTCCTCTTGAGAGCCTCCTTTCTCTTGGGGATCTCAATTATTACTTGACTTCCCCTTTAGTGTTCCGGCCTCTAGTACAACGAGGATCATCCCATTCAGCCCAGCAAGGACTAGGAGGGATATTCATGTAAGACCTTATTTTTTGTTTATTTGGGGTGGGGGCTTTTTGGGTTTTTTGATTGTTTGTTTTTTTGTTTTGTTTTGTGGCTGGCCACAGGTATGGAACCCTGGACCTTGGTGTCATCAGCACCATGCTCTAACAAGATGGGCTAACTAGCCAGCCTTCACATAAGACTTCAGTGTAGATGCTGGGATGACCACAGGGAAATGAATAGACCAAGCAGCGTGGAGTCCCCGCCAGGCCACTGTCACACAGCAGGGCTCTGCAACATAGAGGTCAAAAGCACAGACTCTGGACTCATAGAAATCCAGTTCAAGTCTGACCACCTGTGTGGCCTTCAAAAATGGGATTAATCTCTCAGAAGTCCGTTTCTTCCTCTTTAAATTGGGGCAGGGTCACTCAGCTTACAGGGTCATGAGAATTAAAGCAGAGAGTGAGGGTGTATGCAGTGTCTGCCATGGAGAGCAGACGCCTGGATAGTGGCGGCTGCTGGTTTTGCTCATATCCTTTTCCCCCACCTCTCTCAGGCACATTCGTGGGCACATCTAGACCCTCAGAATTTAGGACCAGGATGGTCTCAGGACAGAAGCTGGAGCTGGGAGGAGGAGCTGCCTCCATCACCCAGAGGACAGGACTCGCTTCACCCCACATCCCCCCAGTCTCCTGCCCATCCACTCACACTAGGCTGACTGCTGTTCCTGCTGCGGAGTCTTGGTGTTGGTTCCAGATTTAGGGATTTCTGTGTACATATAGGCATGGGGTCTGTGTTGGGTTCCCTGATCAGTCTTAGGCTTTTGTCTCAGGGGAGCTTCCTTCTCCCACAGGCAGGAAACCCACCCAGGCACCGCTTCCTGCTCCCAGCCTGTGGCACTAGCCACCAGGTGTCCCCTGCCCCCCCCTGAGCTGACCTTAGGGCAGCCCCCACTAGCCAGGAGCCTGACCCCCACCTGCTTGAGTGAACATTTTCTGTAACAGTGTCCATCCATCCCATAAACATGACCTGTTCTTGCAGGAGATGGGTACTGGGCATGTGCTCTGGGTCTGATGCTACCTGGTACCCTGTGGGGTGGGCTGAGGCCAGCACCACAGAGAGAGGCCAGCCCTTTGTCCTCCTGTGTCGGTGGCATCTCCTCTTCCCACCCCTCCAGTTCCCGGCCCCCTGGGTGCTCATAGCCCCCCTGCTGCCCTAGGTTAGGTGGTGGAGGAGGGATGTCAGGCAGCGAAGGGGCTGTAACTTGGGCTTGTAGTGGTCCTCCCTTTGGGCCTGGGCCATGAGGGTGTGGTTTGGATCTCTTACTGTGGCTTCTGTCTTGTCCAGTCAGGTGGGCCCAGAAGATTCTGTCTGTGTCCTGTGTGGGTATGATTGCCAGGCAGCCTGGGCCCTGGGAGGAGTGGGGACTGTTCTGTGCAGGAGGTGGTTTTTCTGTCAGACTGTGTCCTGTGGGGGTTATTAACTGTCCGTTGGACCATCCTGTGTGGGTGTGGTTGTCTGTTGGATGGTTCCAGGGAGGGGCATGTTGCCCATGCTCGGGACTGTTACTGTCACGGATAGCTTGCCCGGTGAGCTCTCACAAGTGGCTTTTCAAATGCTCATTGCTGGGGCTGGGGGCTGGCTGAGTGGAGTGGTCTTGCCCCCCTCCCCACTCTTCCTCCGTGGGCTCCCCAACCTGCACCTGCCAGGACTGGCCCTAAGCCCAGGTTTCCTCCACCCTCTGTGAGGGTCCTTTTGCTGTGCCCCCGCCCCCAGTCCTGGCTCCTGTCTGTCCGTCTGCGGCCAGAGCAACCCCTCAGGGCGCTGGCCCGAGTGGGAGCTACAGTGTCCATTAGCCTCCTGAATTATGCAGGAGCCGCGGTGGGTCGAAGCACTTTAGTGGGACCAGGCTGAGAAGAGGAGCCGGAATGGGTGGGGCTGGAGGGGTGGGGGTGGAGGTAGAGTGGGAGGGGAGAATGGGTGCAATAAGCACAGGCTGTGGGCACCAGGCCCTCAGAGAAGCCCCTTCCTTGCTGGTGGGTGGCAGATTCTCAGGCTCTTGCCCAGTGAGGGTCTTGCGTGCCTGCGAACCCCAGGCCAGCGGATCTACAGGCCGCTCCCACACCTGGTTCTGGGTTGCCTGGTGGGGCTGTGGGGCCAGGAGCACTGATGGGGATGTTCACTGGCAAATAGGCTCCAGTACTGGCAGGAGCATGGTGGACACTCAGTGGAGCTGGGGGGTAGGGTGCAGCCCCTAGCGTAGCAAAGACAAGCCTAACTGGACTGCAGGGTGGCATGGGATTGAGCACCACCCTTGCTTCGGGCCAAGAGGCCATGGGGCTTGTCAGGGAGAACTTTCTGGAAGCAGAATGGGTGCTGGGGTGTGGCCCAGATGAGCTGCAACACCTGATCAACACAAGTCATGGATGCTGTTGAGATGCCTCCTGTGGTCCAGGCCACACTCAACACAGGCCATGCCTGACCTCTCCCTTTGTGTCCCCACAGGTGCCTTGCAGATTGAGAGCAGTGAGGAGTCAGACCAAGGCAAGTACGAGTGTGTGGCGACCAACTCAGCAGGCACACGCTACTCAGCCCCTGCAAACCTGTATGTGCGAGGTAAGGACTCCAGCAGTGCCTGGTCATTGTCACCATGGAGCTGAGCTGCACCTGCTGTCGTGTGCTGGGAGCCCCTGGTGCAGACTGCCACGGGCCCGGTCTCTCTTCCTTCCCACCTCTTTCCACAGCAGGGACAGCAGCAGCAGCAGCTCCCGCTGGGCAGGCTCCTGGCATCTGCTGCTACTTTGCCTTCCTTCCCCACAGGCCCTTGGGGAAACAGCCGCTCTTGGGAACGTTTGTGTCTCTCGTAGGTCCTGCCGCATGGGCCCAGAGCCCCACGGGAGTCTGGAGCCTTCTGAGCAGACTTCTCCGTGTGTGTGTGTGTGTGTGTGTGTGTGTGTGCGCGCGCGCGTGCGCGCGCATGTACAGGCAGGTATGCACATTTGTGTGTTAACGTGCACACCTGACCTTATTGGTCCTCCTGTCTTCTTCAGCACGATGGGCTCCAGGAACACTCTGGCACTGGGCTTTAGGGCAGTCAGGCTTCAGCAATGGACCAGGTCTGCTTGGGGCCTTCCTGGAGGAGCCAGCTGTGCTTGCCACCAGCCAGAAGCCTTGTGTGGGGGGCTCAGGCTGAGGTAGCTGTGAGCTTCTATGGGTACGTGCCTTGGATGAGCATCTCCTGTGTTCCAGGTATTTCCTGCTGGGACTAAGTGGATTGTGTACTTCTCAGAAGTCCAGGTACCCAGCAGATAGGACCTGGGGACTGTTTTGATGTGTTCAGTCTCTGCTGTACTCACAGCCCAAGGGCAACGAAAGCTGGCCACCTTGCCTCTTATTGAGAACATGCTGGGTCTGGTGTACACAGTGCCCTGGTAGGGTCCTAGTAGCCATTCCTGCCCCCACTGTCCCCTCACGTAGCTGTCCTGCACAGATGGATGTCATTAAAAGTTAAACTGTCTCTTCTCGGGATTTGTAAAGGAAAGTGGATGTGGCTTCTTTGCAGAGGTGATTTCATCACAGTAAGTGTTTAGAGCGGCTTTGCAAGGGGTATCTTCTGACTGTCCACCCAGTGCATGCAGCAGGGGTGACAGCAGTGATCTCTCCCGTTTTTCAGGGCTGTGTGTTTAGATTGCTTACTCAGGGCAGAGAGAATTAGGCCATCCACCAACATGCACTAAGGAGCTGCTGTGTGTCAGGGCGCAGGGTGGCTCCCGAGAGGCCACAGGCTGCCAGCCCGTGTGGTGACCAGTTGAGCTGCAGAAGAGCTGTTTCTGATGGGCAAATTGTGCTTCAAAGGCCACTGGAGATGCTGTAGGGGAGTTGGGAGCATGGAATGGGAAGTCAACACCCACCCCCGTTGTTGTCAGGAGTCCTGCTCAGCGAGACTCAGCTGAGCTGACAGGGAGGCCAGGAGCCCAGAACCCCCCACATGGAGAGACGAGTGCAGCTGTAAGCAGCAGAGCCTTCACCCCACACTGCCTCTGGCAGAGCATCTGACAGAGACACGGGGGCCTGCCAGAGTGGAGCAGCCTGAATGACCATGAGCAGAGACCTGCCTCCTCCCACCCCAGCCATCCTGAGTGCTGTGTACTCTCACCTGAGCACTTCTCCCAAAAGACTGTAGGGTCAAGAGTGTGGAGGTCTTGGGCCCTGGCGAGGAGCAGCTGTAAGCAGCAGAGCCTTCACCCCACACTGCCTCTGGCAGAGCATCTGACAGAGACACGGGGGCCTGCCAGAGTGGAGCAGCCTGAATGACCATGAGCAGAGACCTGCCTCCTCCCACCCCAGCCATCCTGAGTGCTGTGTACTCTCACCTGAGCACTTCTCCCAAAAGACTGTAGGGTCAAGAGTGTGGAGGTCTTGGGCCCTGGCCCTTGTCTGTGTGTGGCTGTAGCAGGGAGAAGGGAAGCCTGGCCCAGCAGAACCACCGCAAATCCCAAGCAAGCTATGTAGGTGTGGCCACATGGGCAAATTTCCTGGCGTAGAACTGCAGGAAGCAATTCTGAGGCAGGAGAAGGCCCAGACCCAAGGTGGGTGTCACCTTCTTGGCTGGACTACATTTTCTGAGGTCACCAGTATGCTGGCCCTATCTCTAGAGGTGGAGCAGTGGGTCGTTTTAGAGATGACTAAGCCTAGTTGCTGTAGTTGGCAGCTCGGGCACTGACCAGGGAAATCTACCTGCAGCCCCTTGGGACATCCCTGTCTCTGATGCTCCCACTGTCCAAACATGATGGGCTCAGGCAGGACCCTGACTGGTCCCTGCCGTGGCCCATCCCCCACCTCCACAAGGTCTTCCTGAATCCGCCTTCCTGGCTCCATTTCTACATGCCTTTTGGCAGGAAATGTGGGGGTTCCTTTAGTTCCAGCCTTGCTTGCCAGGGATTCTAAAATGACCAACCTGCCTTCTGTTGTCTCTCACACATGTGCACATGTTCCCATGGGTCCCAATGTCCAAGCTTATGTCCCCAGAACCTGCCTCATATCTAGGCCCCATCTGAATCTAAAAGTTGCTTTGCCAAGAGCAACCTGTCCTGTAGGCCCAGGACAGGCACTTCTATCCTACTGACAGGACTTCTGCACACCTAGAAAGCCCTGCCCCCAGGTCCTTTGCCTCTGGTGTCCCCACCCCTCTGCACGTCATGCCTGGCAAAGACCTCTGGCCTTCTTCCCCCAGCAGTGCTGAGGGCCCTGCAGCCCCAGCTCCTCTGGCCACCAGCTTTGTATCCTGAACCCTGCTGTGGACAGACAGCCATGGTGGAACCCCCTAGCGCCAGCCTGGCCTGCCTGCTGGCCTGTGCCCCCACCTATCTCCCAGCAGAGCGGCTTCCAGACTTCCTTCATAGCAGGCTCCTATTCCCTCGAGAGGCATTTAGGACCAGATAATTCTTAGTTGTGGGGAGCCGTCCTGTGCATTGTAGGATGTTTAGCAGCATCCCTCACCCACTAGATTCCAGCAGCATCCCCAGGTCATGCCAACCTAGACAACTAAAATGTCTATAGACATTGCCATGTGTTGCCTGGGGAAATCACCACGGTGGAGAGGCACTGCTCTGGACAATGGCCTTCGCTGGCGTTTGTCTCCAGCCTCTCTGACTTCTCTCCTGCTGCTGTCCACTGGCCCCAAAGCCTCAGACTTGGCCTTGGTGTCTACCCCACTTCCCTCCTCTGTCCCCCGGACTAAGGGCTCCCCCTGTCCCCTGAGGCCCTGCTGCTACTGCATTGAACAGGCCAGCACGTGTGAAGCACCCAGTGCGTTGCCAGGTGCACAGGAGCACTTGATAGGCGGGAGCTGCTGCTGCTGTCAGCATCGCGGTGGGGGGTGCGTCATCCAGTTACGTCTGATTTTGTTCACAGTTGCCCACAGCTCCACCCACAGTCTAGCAGGCCCAGGCATGCTGCTGGACCAGCCTCTTTCTCCGTCACTATCTGACTCCCTTCCTGAGTGACTCATTCTCTCCTTCCATCCACAGCGTCTCTCTCCTGCAGCTCTTGGGGCTCACAGCTGCCAGGGTGGGGCCCCTCCCCCTGCAGAGCCTGATCTACCTGCACCAGAGCCACCAACCTTCCCCCCTACCCTCCAGGGACCTGGCTGCCGGGACACAGCTATCTAAAATGGGGGTGATGCCTCCCGGTCTTTCTCCCCACAGGTGCCCAGACGTGCTCCTCACACTGGTGCTGTGCAGCGTGGGGCCTCTTTAAGGTTGCGGGGTTCTAGTGGCTTGTGTGCCTTGGTGGGTTTGTGGGTTGGGTGGGCCCTGACCCCAGAGCCCAGTTCATCGGGTCTGTCTGAGCCATGGCGTGCGTGAGGCATGGGAGCCTGCCTGTGCCCCACTTCCACCACTCCCAGTCATACCCTTGGTGTCCCTGGCACCTGCTGGCGGGCCCCAGCCCTGTCCGCTGTGTCCTCCATGAGTCCTGAGTCTTTTGTGAGCAGCGTGGTCTGTGTGCACCTGCGTGCACGTGTGCGTGCGAGGGAGCACGGGAGTCTTGTCTTGTCTCCGTGCTGTGTGGGCAGATGAAGGTTGGCCTGTTTTTACTCTCTCTGTGTTTCTCCTTGTCTTTTTTTTATTCCCTCCTCATCCTCATCGCACTCTGCCATCAACCCAAACTCTCATCTCTCAGATCAGCGAGAAGGTTGGTCCTTTTCACTTCTTATCCATCTGCAGTTCGTCTTCAACGGGACTCGCCCGTCAGTAGGGACCGGCGGGCTTGGTCAGCTCCCAGGCTCGCTCCAGCCGTGCCTGCCCGCCAGTCGGCCTTTGCTCTTCCTTGTGGGGCTGGCAGGCAGGCAGGACCAGGGGTGGGTGGGCAGGTCCCCCTGCCCTGCATGTGCCTGGTGCACTATGTGTCTGCATGTCCCCTTAGCTGGGCTTCCCTGCCATGGTGGTCGGGTGGGCATGGTGCATGGCATGAAACTGCACCCCCCTTTGTGCCTGGGCCAGGCCAGCTCTCTGTTCCAGGTAGAGCTCAGGAATGGTTGGGGGAGCTCTGGTCAGAAAGAGATGTACGAGCTGTAGTGTCTTACGTGTGCCTGTGGGCCTTCCACAACCTCCTGCTCACCTAGGGACCACGTTTGCCCAAGCTCAGTGCACACCACTGGGATGAAGATGAAGAGGAGAGGCTAGAGTGGGCTGTCCCCTCAAGATTCTGCAGCACAGGACAAAAGTCTCATAGTGTCCTCCCTGTCCTTAAGGCCCCCCAGACCCCCCACCAAGGGAGGTCTCCATGGGGCAGCCAGCCCTGGTCTGCCTCAGGGAGCTTGGTGTCCATGCACAGTGCGAGTGGCATCATCTTGGCTCACTGAGGAAGGTCTCCTGCACCGTTGTCTTTTTCCCTGTCCAGCCAGATCCAAACTAAGATCTTCCCACCTGCTCCAGGCCCCTCTGCCCAGCCTCCCAGCCAGCTCACATGTCTGTCTGAGGGGGAATTTATTTGCCTGCCTGCCAGCCAGCTGACATTCCTTAGTCCGTGCTAGGTGCTGGACATTCAAACTTAAATTGTTGCTTACACCTGGAGGCCCATGTGGGAGCCTAGAGGCGGCCCCTGGCTCAGCTGCAGGTGGGGGAGCTTCCTGCAGGATCCCCTTGAGCCCATTCCAGAGTAGTCCCATATGGGGCTCAGATTTCAGTCCCACCCACGGAGCTAGACCCCCACCCCCAATGCTGGAGCCAGCAGCAGGGGCCATTGGTCATTCGTGTGTCACATGGTCTGAGTGGTCAGGGGACACTCACCTGTACACTGGGCTTTGGGGGTTCAGGGCAGAAGCACAGGACAGGCTGAACCCCAGAGAGTAGATCCAGGCCACCTGGTCTCCTCTGCATCATCCTCTGTGGCTTGATTTTCCTCCATGATGGAGAGGGAGCCGGGCGAGAGGAGGGCTGCAGCCTGGGCTCAGATATCAGCCCGGAACATCCATCCATATGCACTCTTGAGCCCTGGGGCTTTTCAGTTACACTGTTTCGCTGACCAGGCTGATCTGCCAGGGCGTTCAGAAAATAGTCATCAGCAGAGACAGCCCAGCCGCAGCCATCCCCTCACGCCCCTTCCCATACCCTACCCCCCACCCTGTGGTCCCACCAAAAATAATCATATACACAAATATTTAATGGGAAAGCAGAAATGAGTTTCTAAATATTCCAGGGGGATTTGCTGGGCTGGTAATTTGTTTGGCGCTGATAATTGCATCTTACGTTTTTCTAGCTTTACTTAAAACTGTGTGCTGGGTGCGCCGGCATTTAATTACTGCTCTGCGGCAGCCACAAGGTTATTTATTAAAGAGTTATTTTATCTTGATACAGTGGATCCAGCCCCTTATCCCCTCCTTCATGTTGTGTTATTTTCATCAGAGAAATTTCCACGAGTGAATGCAGATTGTGGGGCTGCCTCCCCCTGCGATTAGGCTGTCACTCCATGGAATGCTGATGCCTCTAGGCACCGCACCACCCTGTTATAGGGGGTTGTCAGTGCAAATAATTAGACTTAAAAGTTACAGCTGAAATATAATCCAGAAATGGCAGGGTCCTGTTTTGGAAATTGTCTATAAAATGTCAGCACTAAGGATGCACGGGGAACAGTTATAGACCGGCATTGTTGGAGCCCGAGAGTAGGCCCTAAGTGCATTTTTCCCAGTTCCAGTTTTTCTGTCCCCACTGTTGGTTCTGTCAACAGACTGAGTCCAGGGCGAGTCCTGCTCCTTTTGGAGGCCTGTGTCTGTGATGATGGGAGGAGGACGGCAGGACATCTGCAGTGAGGTGCCAGCCGCTCCTGCCTCTTGGCATGGGTGGCTGTCCGCACAGGTCTAGGATGCAGGACTCTGTTGGTACTCGGCAAGCCAGGAACTTGTCTCTTGCCCTCTTTCCCCCACCGTTCTGCTATAGACATACCCTGACCTCCTTCTCACCATGGAGAAGATGTGTCTGAGCCATCGGAAGCCGTGTGCCAGGATTCCTTGCATGTGGAAGGAATCCCAAGCCCAGTGTCCTAGGGAAGGAGTGAAGGTGGCACACCTGGTGCCTCTGGGCTTGAGGCCCTTGCCTGGTGCTACATATGATCTTAAGGGTCATGTCCGACATCTCTTACTCATCCCTATCCCCTGGAGTTCTCCCTGCCACCTGCCTCTGGGAGGGGAGAAATAAAACCCAAACTATCCTTAGTGTTAGTTCCTGGAAGGCCTCCATTTCCCAGGCTTTAGAAGGAGTAGCACAGGCGTGACCTCTAGAGTTGATCCATGAGGTCTGAATCTTGTCCCAAAGACCCTATCCTCCAGTGATTATTTGGGGGATGAAGGCTAGTCAAATTCCTGGGCTGCTTAGGTGGGGGCCCAAGGCTTATTGGCCAAGTACCTAATTCCTTCTGCTGGGGCTCTTTGTTCTGGCATCCAGGGACTTGATCATGCCCCAAGATTCCACAGTGACCAGGGTCAAGCGCGCAGCCATGACCTTTCCCCAGCACAGATTCATGAAGTCCTATCCCTATGCCAATTGAAGTAGCATCTTCTGCCAACCCCAGCTAACCCTGGAGCTTCTCCCCAGAGCCTCCTGGGTCTCTTTTTTCAGACCTGTCAGCCAGGGCTCAAAAAGTGTGAGGTTTTCATCACACAGATCACTCCTACTATGTATATAAACTTGGGCATGTCAGAGTATCAGTCTTGAATCAGTTCCCTTGTCTGTAATTGGGAGGGGATAACATCTACAGCATGAAAGCCTGAAGCACATGGTAGGGGCTCAAGAGTGGTTTCCCCTTTCAACCTGTTTTGATGCCCATCAATGAGGAGGAGATGGGGCAGCCACTGGCTGAGAGGACAAGAGGAACTCAGTCAGTTAAAGCTGCTCCTCTGTGCTGGACCCTCCCTTCCTAGGCAGGCCTGGGCTCGGTCTGCAAATAGACCTGCCTGCCTGGGCCTCTCCCCACAACACCCGTCCCTCAGGCCCAGCTCCAGAGCCCAGGGAGTGTCCGCACCACTGGGCTGAGCCGTCGTTCTGCCTGTGCCTCCTGGCCTCACCTTGTGCCATCTGGGGGCAGTGTTCAAAGAGTCCTTTGTTGCCATGGAGCACTTGCCAGCCATGCCATGGGATCTACCTGTTCTCTGCCATGAGAACTACTGTGTCTGTGACATGCTGTCATCATCATTGTAGACTCCCAGCACTGGGACAGATGACAGAAACCCACTTACACCAGTGCAAGCAAAACAAGGAAACTCTTGTGTTACAAAACTGGAAAATGTAGTAGATTTGGTGTTGAGCAGGGCTAGATCCAGGCATCCAAACAGTCTGGTCAGGCATTTGTCTGTCTTTGTCTCTTAGCTCTGCTCTTCCCTGTGACTTCTTTGTTCTTTTTTTTTTTTTTTTTTTAAAAGATGACCGGTAAGGGGATCTTAACCCTTGACTTGGTGTTGTCAGCACCACGCTCAGCCAGTGAGCGAACCGGCCATCCCTATGTGGGATCCGAACCCGGGGCCTTGGTGTTATTAGCACCGCACTCTACCGAGTGAGCCACGGGCCGGCCCAGACTTCTTTGTTCTCAAGCAGCTTTTCCTATGTGTTAGGAAAGGTGGTCCCCCAGCCACTTTAAGCTTAGCTACCCAGTAGAGAAAAAGTTGGTTTTCTTCTAGTTTTTGCAGAAGTCCAGAGGCTGTTTCTCATTAGCCAGATCTGGGCCACATGCCCCACCATGAATTGGGGGAGAGATGGTTTCTCCCCTAAAGAAAATGAGTGTTCTGGTTCTAGGAGAATGCAGGACACTGGATGTCCATGAGGCCCCAAGTGAGCCTGGGGACACAGATGCAGCCTGTGATGTCAGTCATGCTTGGACCGCTGGGGGATTGCTAGTGTTTTGGTTTTGTCTGGAGAACTGGGAGTGGGGCAGGTTGCAGGTGCTAAGTAAGGTAGGGCTTTGTAGGCAGGGTTGAGGAATCACTGGGGACCCATGCAGGAGTTTGCTAAATAGGGAACAACGTAATCAGGCTTGTGCCAGCTGTTTGTGGAGGACCAGGTAACAGACAAGGCAGGAGGGCCCATGAAGAACCCATTGCAGCAACCCAGGGAAAGATAGATGGTTTGCAGGGAAATAAGTAGATTGGAAAGATATTTTAGGCAGTGGCATTAACAGGACCTGGTGACTTGCTGGAAGTCTGGTCTCTGGGCCTCCGTGTTGACCCCTGTGTAGTGAGGTCAGAGGTCTGAGCAGGTGGTCTCTGTAGTTGCTTCCAGCTCTGGTTCTGTGACTTGGGGCTGTGCAAGCTGCATAGTCTGGTGCCTATGGAGGAGGTGCTCCTGATGTGCTCCTGGGTTCTTTGCATGCCTGGACTCCCTGGCAAGGGTCCCCGGAGACCAGTGCTCTTGGTAGGGCCTTGGGCTCACTTAGCCCCTCTGCTCGACTTCTCCATGTGTAAGGGTGCTTGTGTAGGACACACCCAGCCTCTGCCCACCACTGCCTGACCCGTCTGCATGCCATGCATGCCTCCCCATAGCCAGGTCTTGTCTGCCTTCCCTCCCACTGCATGCTCTAAATGTCTGTGCCGAGCTTGCAACGGGGGGGTGGTTCCAGGCTGCACCCTGGACTGAGAAGCTCACAATAGCTTCCGGCCAGTGGAGTCCAAGGCTGGAGGTCATGGCCAGCCACAGCCACCCTCCCCTTGAGACCCTTGTTCATTGGCACAGAAAGCCGTCTGTTCGGCACCCTCATCATGTTAATTGCCATTGTCATGCCCATCCTGCCCGCAGACCACATCTCTGGCCTGCCCCAACCCCTCACCGCTGTCCAGCCCTCCTGAAGGGCAGCCTCTCCTCCTGGGTTCTGAGGCTGTGCCTTGAGCATGGCTGAGGCCCCAGCAGGGGGTCATGCCACTCCCCTCATCTGGTCCCCTCTAGCCTTGGCCTGGAGGTGGAGGCAGTGACTCCAGAGAGACTCCTGAATGCTCCTCTGCTCTGCCCCAGCTATGCTCTGAGGACCCTCCACCCTAGGGCCTGGGTTTCTCTTGCTGGCGCTCCAACTAGTCTCTCTGGAGACCCATCCAGTGGACCAGGAGTGAGCAGGGGAAGGCACTGGAGGATAGCCTGGGTGTAGTCCTGACCAGGCCCAGACCTTGCACTGGGTCCCTGTGTGACCCTGGGCAGGTGGGACTTTTCTGGGCCTCAGTTTTCTAGGCTGTAAAATGGGAGCTTGGTTGCAAGATTTCTCATTAAGTAAGACATCATGTTCCAGACAGTCCCTGAGTATGGGGGCTACTTCTAGCCCAAAAGTGGGGTGGGAGGTGGGGAGCCGGAGCCCAGGGATGCCACCCCTCCTGTCCCTGAGCGTGGGTTTGGCTCTGATGAGAAGGGCTTCCTGGATGAGGGGCCCCTGCCCTTCCACCCACCAGCGTGTGCTGCCCAGCCTGTGAGTGCCTCTCTCCCTCCTCCCACAGTGCGCCGCGTGGCCCCTCGGTTCTCCATCCCTCCCAGCAGCCAGGAGGTGATGCCAGGTGGCAGCGTGAACCTGACATGCGTTGCAGTGGGTGCACCCATGCCCTACGTAAAGTGGATGATGGGGGCTGAGGAGCTCACCAAGGAGGATGAGATGCCGGTCGGCCGCAATGTGCTGGAGCTCAGCAACGTTGTGCGCTCTGCCAACTACACCTGTGTGGCCATCTCCTCACTGGGCATGATCGAGGCCACGGCCCAAGTCACAGTGAAAGGTGAGTGCAACAGGTGCCTGCTGGGGCCTGCCTTGTCACAGAGAGCTACAAGAGGTGGTAGCACCCCATCAGGCAAGCCTGAGCCAGCCGCTATGGGCACAGGCAGGGCTGAGGGATCCTTACTGTCTCTGTTAATAACAGCCTTAGTGATAATAGCTGACATACATTGAGTTCCTAGGTAGCAGACATCATGCTAGAAAGTACAGTCTATTTAATTTAGTCTTCGTGTTATCCTGTGAGACAGATGCTCTTTTTATCTTTTTATCCCCATTTTACAGATGAGGGAACTGAGGAACAGAGAGGCTACATCGCTTACTCAGGGTCACACAGAAGTAAATGACAGAGCAGGGACTTGAACCCCAGGTGGTCTGAATCCACAGCCCACCCCCTTAACTATTACATGGGAACTGAGGAACAGAGAGGCTACATCGCTTACTCAGGGTCACACAGAAGTAAATGACAGAGTAGGGACTTGAACCCCAGGTGGTCTGAATCCACAGCCCACCCCCTTAACTATTACATGGTGCAGCAGTCCCCCGTTATCCTCAGGAGATATGTTCCAAGACCCCTAGTAGATGCCTGTAACCACTGGTAATACTAACCCTACATATGCTCTGTTTTTTCATATGCCTGTACATACCTATGATAAAGTTTAGTTTATAAACTAGGCACAGCACTCTTGCCCTTTGGGGCCATTATTAAGTCAAATAAGGGTGACTTGAACACAAGCACTGTAATACCAGAACAGTGGATCTGATAACCAAGACAGCTACTGACTAATGGTCAGGTTAGCATCTGCAGCGTGGACACGCTGGACATGGATGATTTGCCTCCCTGTCGGGATGGAGCAGGATGGTGCAAGATTTTATCAGGCTACTCCAAACAGCACCCAAGTTAAAACTTATGAATTGTGTATTTCTGGAATTTTCTGTCTAATATTTCTGGGCCATGGGTAACTGAAACTGACAAAAGTGAAACTGTGGATAAGGGATAAGTACTGTACCAGACTTTCAGTTTAATAGCCTCCCAGCAAGAAGTAAAAATAGTAGCCACAGGGAGTGGGTTGTCTCAGCCTGGAGCCCTGGGACAGGCACACATACGTAACACATGTGTAACAGACTCCTCTCTGATCTCCCTGCTTCCACTCTTACCTGCCTCTGGCCCATCCTCCATTCTGTGGCTTGAGCGATCATTTTAAAATGTAAATCAGGATCATGTCACTCCTATTTAAAAGGAAGAGAAACACCTTCTGGTGGCGTCCCGTTGCTCTTGGGATACAGATCAGGAGCCCCACCATGGTCTCTGGGGCCCACTGGCCCCCCACCGTCAGCGTGCAGCTGCTGCATGGACACACATCATTCCGTTTGCCTAGCTCCCCTCCCAGCCCTCCCTATCGCTGGCTCCCCCTCACCCTCCAGGCCTCAGCTCTGCGAGGCTCTCCTTCCCTGATCATCCATCCAAGGAGAGCTCCTGGACTTTTCTCAGTCTTGGCACCCTGCCTCCTGCTGTCTTCAAACATACCAGAGTCGTGATTGTTGTCGACTCGGGTTTTGATTCTCTCTTGCACTGGAATATAAATTCCATGAGAGCAAGGAGGTGACTGTGTGATGTAGCCCCAGCACAATGCCTGGCACTAAGTGGGCACTCAGTAATTATTTGTTGAATGATTGTCTGTGGACCTGGGATTTCTCCACTTTTAATTTGAGCCAAGCCATAGGGTCTGTCATTAGGAATTACCTTCCCTTCCCCAGCCCAGTTGCACATACCGCCAGGTGGGCGCAGGTGAACTGCAGAGGCAGAGCTCTGCTACTTTCCCTGGGTGCTTTCCATCTGCATGGGATTGAGAAGACCATGTCACCTCCAGATGAGTCATAGGGGCTGGTGTGAGGATCCATTGAGTCCCAGAGATGACATGTGTACATACTAAATGACCAAGGCCCCTGGTGGCACTGGCAAGTCTGGCCACTGTCCCCAGCTGGGTGCCTTCAGAGGTCACCCACCATAAGGTTTTCAGGCCATGCTTTCAGGTGGGCTTTGGGTGTCAACTGCACTCTAATAGTCACATTAGGTGCCCTTGGATGATTCCCAAGGGTAGGGTTGGTTCATGAGGTCATGACCTCAGGCAGCCCTGAGTCTTCCACTTTGTTCCCAGCTCTGCCGAAGCCTCCGATTGATCTTGTGGTGACAGAGACAACTGCCACTAGCGTCACCCTGACGTGGGACTCTGGGAACTCGGAGCCTGTGTCCTATTATGGCATCCAGTACCGTGCAGCGGGCACAGAGGGCCCCTTCCAGGAGGTAGATGGCGTGGCCACCACTCGTTACAGCATTGGCGGCCTTAGCCCTTTCTCAGAATATGCTTTCCGCGTGCTGGCAGTGAACAGCATCGGGCGCGGGCCACCCAGTGAGGCAGTGCACGCACGCACAGGTGAGCAGGCGCCCTCCAGCGCCCCGCGCCGTGTGCAGGCACGCATGCTGAGCGCCAGCACCATGCTGGTGCAGTGGGAGCCGCCCGAAGAACCCAACGGCCTGGTGCGGGGGTACCGTGTCTACTACACTCCAGACTCCCGGCGCCCCCTGAGTTCCTGGCACAAGCACAACACGGATGCGGGGCTCCTCACCACCGTGGGCAGCCTGCTGCCCGGTATCACCTACAGCCTGCGTGTGCTTGCCTTCACTGCTGTGGGCGATGGCCCACCCAGCCCCACCATCCAGGTCAAGACACAGCAGGGAGGTAGGCGGGGGCACATGTGCTGGCCGATGGCAGGGCTGGGACAGGTCAGGGCTGTGGCAGTGCCTCTCGTTCTCCCTCAGGCCATGAAGTTGGGGCTCTGGGAGGATGAGGGCAATGTATTCCATAGGTGTGTGGTCACTTGGGATGCAGGAACAGGGTGTGAGGGTGAGAATCTGCCTTCCCCTGCTTCCTTTGTCTGGGGTGCTCTGTCCTCGGGGAATTGTCGAGGCTGACGGTACCTGGGTGGGGTGTTGCAGTACCTGCACAGCCCGCGGACTTCCAGGCCGAGGCTGAGTCAGATACCAGGATCCAGCTCTCATGGCTGCTACCCCAGCAGGAGCGGATCATCAAGTACGAGCTGGTGTACTGGGCAGCAGAGGACGAAGGCCAGCAGGTGAGTGAGGAGGCAGGGAAGGGTGGCAGGAGGAGGGGTCCTCCTGGTCCCTGAAGGTTTGTTGGGCACAGCCTCTAGGGTTTCTCCGTGGGGCTTTGTGGCTCATGGGTGCCATGCAGCCCATGTGGCCTGTATATTGTCTGTGTCACCCCTTTGCTGGGGCAGAGTTCCTGGGGTCTGCTCTTGGGTCTCTTGGACTCTGTAGCTCACATAACATTGGCAGAACCCTAAAATCTCCCTGGAGCCATGTGGCCCAGGTGGCTCTGTGGGCCATGTAGTCTGTGGGCACGTGTGGCATGGACCAGATGGTGAGTTCTTTGTATGGCCCATGTAACCTTGTGTTGTGGAGACACCCTGGAGTGATGGTTGTCCAGAGGGTCCTATTGCAGCCCACATTGGGGAGCACCTCTGAGTGACCTTTGCGGACCAGATGGTGAGTTCTTTGTATGGCCCATGTAACCTTGTGTTGTGGAGACACCCTGGAGCGATGGTTGTCCAGAGGGTCCTATTGCAGCCCACATTGGGGAGCACCTCTGAGTGACCTTTGTGGTCAGAGCAGTCAGTGGATGCTCCCTGCTCTTCCAGCACAAGATGACCTTCGACCCCACCTCCTCCTACACTCTAGAGGACCTGAAGCCCGACACACTGTACCGCTTCCAGCTAGCTGCCCGCTCGGATATGGGGGTGGGTGTCTTCACTCCCACCATCGAGGCCCGCACAGCACAGTCCAGTAAGTGTCTCCTGAGGCCACTGCCTGTTACACCTGGCTGGGACACACACGCATGCACATGCGCGCACACACCCTTTCCCCTCGACCAGGTGGGTGGTCAGGTCTGCCGGGCCCTGGACTGGACTTTGGTCTGGGGTCTGGGTCTGGACCCTGAGAAAGGGACAGGTAAGTGCCCCAGTCTGTGTCCAGGCAGCTGCTGCCTTCCCTGCTCCCTGCCTAGCTTCCTGCCCCTCCCTTCCCCCCATATCTCCCATACCCTGCCCAGGTAAGTGCTGTGTCTGATTCATCTCCCTCCTCCATCCTCCCCTTGTGCTGGTCACACCAGCCGACTGGGCCATCCTTGGTGGGCCTGCGAGGTTGCAGACCTGCTTTGGTGGCTGTTTTCCCTCCCCATAGCCCCAAACCTCATCTCCTCCATCATCCATATTCCTCTCTTCATACGCCCACCATGAGAATTACATGTGAGCCATGTGGTCACCCTGAGCTGACTGCACCTGGGGACAGGTCTGTGAGAATGCAGCTGTATGACTGAGGCTGCCCACATGCCTGAGTGTGGGGCCATGTAGCCATTGCGGGGGACTGTCTGTGAGGCCATTTGTGTGACAACTGTGTAGTGTTGCGTGTTACTGTGCGCTGTGCATGTGAAACTCTTTGATGCTGTGGCTGTATATGTGGCACCGTCTGTGGGCATGGGTATGACCATACCTGATCACCTGGCCATGCAGTTCCTACACGTGTATGTCAGTGGTCTGTGGGGGACTCTGTGGCCTGACCCCATGACCATGTGTTTAGGTCTCTGCAGCTCTCCGGATGACAGACTGAGTGTGCATGTGATTCTTTGACTGCGGGTGCCACTGGGTGACCTCTCTGTGATCATACAACCACAGCAGACCCCTGTCTGCGAGACTCTGCAATAAGGTGGCCATGGGGGTGACTGTGGTGGGTGGCACCATGGGATTGAGATGATGACCATGTGCAATGACCGTGAATGTGGCCATATCTGTGAAGCAGTATGCATGACGTGGGACTGTGTGCTCATGTACCAGTGACATCAAGAGGCTGCCTGCAATCTGTGTTCGTGTGTTCATTCTAGAAGCACCTGCTGTGCTCTTCCTGGGGGCCACCAGACCATGCACAGTGCAAGGCCAGCGTCACGACCAAAAGCGACCAAAAAACATGGCCTCTGCCCATGGGGATTCTTCAGTGGAGTGGGCAGACACGTTACACCTGTAATCACCCAAATGAGCTTTTAATTACAGCTGTCTAAAGGGGGATGGAGGAGATGGACAGGTGGAGAGATGCTGTGACAGGAACTTTCTCTGGTCTGAGGGTTCAAAGAGGGCTGTGCGCAGGGGTGGGGTGGGGGGTGGGTGGTGCTTCACCCTCGGGCCTGGCCTAAAAGAAGAGCAGAAGCCAGCTGGGCAAATGAACAGGAGCAGGGAACATGGGAGCCTTAGTCAGGGAGTCTGCAGGCCCAAAAGCCCAAAGCCAGAAGGCACAGGTCGTGGTCGTGGTATGGACAGGGAGCAAGCAGGAGGCCAGTGTGGCTGGAGCAGCCGCCAGAGCTGTAGCAGTCAGGGCCTAGGGACAGAGAGCAGGTGGGAGGGCTGACCCTGGCTGTTCTGTGAGGATGGACAGGGCTTCCTGAGAGGAAGCAGAAGACCAGTTAGGAGGCTTTTGGAGTCATCTAGGCAAAAGATGTGGTGGTGGTGGTGGATTCGAGCACTATCTGGAATGCTGACTGGCCAGGACTTTGGCGACGGATTGGGAATGGGGGCCAAAGGAGAGGAAATGAAGTGGATCTTGCTTCCGGCATGCTAGACCTAGGAAGAGAGTGCCCCCACCCTCAGGACTGACAATGAGACAGAAGCAGGTGTGAAGAGCCTGCCGTCCAGGTGGGGGTGCTGGGCAGGCTGCTGGGAGCCAGGGCCTGGCTGGAGCTGGAGGCCCCCGAGAGGAGACGCAAGACTGGCTAGAAGAGGAAGTCCAGGAGAGGGAGCAGAGTTTCACGAGGCACTTAGGTAGGAAGTAGAAACAGCAAGCTTAAACATTGTGGAGAAGTTTCGCCGTGAGGGAGGGGGCCATTGCAGCTGGAGGAGACTATGGGGCTGAGGGTGGGATTTTTCTTTTAAGATGGGAAAATCTTAAGCATATTTAAATGCTATTGGGAAAGAGTCAATAGAGAAAAAAAGAAAACCTGGGAAAGAGAAGGGTAATTGGCCAGCGGGTGGGGGGGCGGTGCAGAGCACTGTGATGGGGTGAGTGGCCTCAGATCCACCTCTCCTTTCAGATGCAAAGGCAGGTAGGAGGAAGGGCTTGGTAGCCAGAAGGGGAGGGAGCTGCTGTTCTGCTGTTGGAAGGCTCAGTTTTCTCTGCAAAGTAGGAGACAGGCACATGTGCTGAGAGGAAGGGAGGTGTAGGGAGAGTGGAGGAGTCTGACCATGTTCCACATAAATTGGCAGAGTGAGCTGGGCAAAGCACAGAGACCACAGGCAGTGTGGAGGGCCGAGATGAGCCAGCATGCCCTGTGCTGCCTTGCGGAAGGCAGAGTTGGGTTCGCTTGGGGCTTGGTGCAGGAAGGCGGGACATGGAGAGATTAGGAGGTGGGGGGGGGGGTTGGGATATTGGTGAAAGAGTGGTGAGCTGGAATTGAAGCTGACTCTTGAGGGTGGTGAGGATGAGGGTGGTCAATGGGTAGACGTCCCCAGGGACTGAAGACAGGTGCAGTGCTGGGGTCCTGGAGCCACTGAGCTGAGGCAAAGAGGTGAGAGTCTGCAAGATTTTGGAGGCAGGGCCATTCCTAGTAGTGGCAGCGTCTGGGATATGACCACAGCCGTTCGGTGGAGGAGAAAGCCTGGAGATGAGGGGTTCTGTGGCCATTGAGTTGAAGGAAGGGGGGACATGGAGAGATTAGGGGGTGGGGGGGGGGGTTGGGATATTGGTGAAAGAGTGGTGAGCTGGAATTGAAGCTGACTCTTGAGGGTGGTGAGGATGAGGGTGGTCAATGGGTAGACGTCCCCAGGGACTGAAGACAGGTGCAGTGCTGGGGTCCTGGAGCCACTGAGCTGAGGCAAGAGGTGAGAGTCTGCAAGATTTTGGAGGCAGGGCCATTCCTAGTAGTGGCAGCGTCTGGGATATGACCACAGCCGTTCGGTGGAGGAGAAAGCCTGGAGATGAGGGGTTCTGTGGCCATTGAGTTGAGGGGCTGCTGAAGTCCCCCAGACAGGGGGTAGTGGCAGACTTGAGATAGAGAAGCAAAGCCCGTGTGCTGGCAGAGAGTCCTCAGTGGGCAGAGAGCCTGGAAATGTCACTGGGCACAGGAAGGTACACACCTGCCTCCTAACCCCCAGGGAACCTGTTGAGCAAGATCATCTCTGTTGAGTACTTTTGCTCTAAACCCAGGGGCCATTGGCCTCCTTCATGTCTGGCCTTCCGTCTCTGCGGTTACCTGTGGCTCAGGCACAGAGACCTGCCCAGGCAGGCACAGGTCAGAGCAGCGTCACTTCTAAAGAGCCATTGGGGCCACTTGTCCTCAGAAGAGAGGAGCCATGGGCACGGCAGGCATGGAACGTTCTCTGTATGTGGTTGTGTATGTGATGTGTGTGGGGGTAGCAGTAGGGCCATACGCTTATGTGTATCTGATACTGTGTATGTTCCATGTGAGACAGCATGTGTGTGTGTGAGAGAGAGAGAGAAGAGCCTGTAGGCCAGAGGGAGTCAGGCCATCTCAGTGTCAGTGGTGGCAGCCTGCTTAGAGGGACCCTGGGATGGCCATTTCAGCACTCAGGGGACAACCTGCCTGGGTGAGTCTCCAACCCACTGTGACTCAGTTGCTTGTCAGTGGTGGCAGCCTGCTTAGAGGGACCCTGGGATGGCCATTTCAGCACTCAGGGGACAGCCTGCCTGGGTGAGTCTCCAACCCACTGTGACTCAGTTGCTGTGCCTGTGACCCCCACCTTCCATCTGCCTGCTTCCCCCCATTTGTCTTCCCCAGCCCCCTCCGCCCCTCCTCAGAAGGTGACGTGTGTGAGCGCGGGCTCCACCACAGTCCGGGTAAGTTGGGTCCCACCACCAGCTGACAGCCGCAACGGCGTTATCACCCAGTACTCCGTGGCCTACGAGGCGGTGGACGGCGAGGACCGCAGGCGGCATGTGGTGGATGGCATCAGCCGTGAGCACTCCAGCTGGGACCTGGTGGGCCTGGAGAAGTGGACAGAGTACCGGGTGTGGGTGCGGGCACACACTGATGTGGGCCCCGGCCCCGAGAGCAGCCCGGTGCTGGTGCGCACCGATGAGGACGGTAGGCGGTGGCACCACAAGGGGAGGGGAGGGGAAACTGCCCAAGACTACCCACCAGGCAGCCCACGGTCTTGGCCTCCCATAGGTGCACTCATCTTTCTGGTGCAGACTTAATGGCCCAAATTAGGAGACATAGCTATGGGACAACTTGTGCCCAAATTCCAGCTTTTGGGGCTGTCTCCAAGGTAGCTTATGCCTTAAAAGGCTAAGGTGGAAGAAGCAGTCCCACCTAAGATTTGGGAGGTCGAGACTGGGAAGGCTGTGGTGCAGAAGACCCTCAAAGCAGAATCAACAAGACTGTACCTTGGCTGGGGCTGACCTGTGGCTCACTTGAGAGTGTGTGGTGCTGACAACACCAAGTCAAGAGTTAAGATCCCCTTATCGGTCATCTTTTAGGGAAAAAAAAAAAAAACTAAACCTTGGCTGGACATTGGCAGGATGTGGGGGCCCAGGAGGAGTTAGGACAGATTGTGCTCACTCTGGGGTGGTCAAGGGCCTGGTGCTCACCTCTCTCTGCCCCCCACATCTACCCTCCCCACAAGGTGAGGTAGCCTGGGGCTAGAGGGCTTGGCAGGGCCCATCCTCGGCTCTTAGTCGTGGCAGGCAGAGGGAGCCTTCCATGTTTCTCACCAGGGATGGACCATCTAAGGAAATTACATCAGGGCCTTTCGTGGGGGAGTGGGATGCAGAGCAATGCCTTGAGTTTGCTGTGCCCACCTAAGCCAGGATCAATTCCACCTGGCCTGACTTCCTTCTCTACCTGGCCCCCAGTGCCTAGCGGGCCTCCACGGAAGGTGGAGGTGGAGCCTCTGAACTCAACTGCTGTGCATGTCTCCTGGAAGCTGCCCATCCCCAGCAAGCAGCACGGCCAGATCCGCGGCTACCAGGTCACCTATGTGCGACTGGAAAGTGGCGAGCCCAGGGGCCCACCCATCATCCAGGACGTCATGCTGGCTGAGGCCCAGGTGTGTCCTTGGTGTGGGTGGGGTGGAGGTGTGAGCAGAGGCCAGTAGGCACCACTTCCTCTTTGGAGCCCAGATACCTCCCCTCCCCTGCCCGCCCTCAGAGGTTCTGTGACTGCTTTTCCTTGGCCATAGTACCAGAGATACCTTGCTGTGTCAGGGGTGGAAGGCACTGAGGTGGGGAGGTGAGGGCCAGGTTCCAGGAATACTTCCTCTTCTGTCTTGGGTCTTTCCAAGCTGTGCCAGCACAGGCTCTGGCAGGCATCTCTGTGGCTCAGCCACCAGCACTCACAGAGCTTTATCTCCACAGACCCCAGGTCTCGTTTGCCACTCTTGCCCAGGCCTCAGGCTCGTGGTTGGCAGGAAGCACGTTCACTGTACTGGTTAGGCTGAGCTTTTGAGACGTGCCATCTTCCTAGACAGTGCTGGGCTGGGCATCCAGAGACAGGAGAGCACGCCTAGGCTGCCATATCTTCCACTTGGCCGTGGGCCAGTGGCCTTTGCAGAGCTGTGAATGGCTAAGCGGGTGTTGCTCTGCCAAGTGACACCTGGGGCTGTCAGGACTCTTGAGGGCTAGGCCTGCTAGCCAGCCTCACATTTCTCTCTGTCCCTGGGGTATTCGGAGCACTGGTTTGCTATTCAGATAAAGAACTTTGAACCTCCCCATGGAGGTTATGCCAGTGCTCCAGAATTAGCAAGTGGGTGACTGAGCTTGGATAAGAAGCCGGCTCCCTGGACACCTGGGTAAGGACTACAGTTGCTCTTGTGAGCCCCTCCCAAACTGCTCCATTGAGGAGACAAAACTCCTGGTGTGACCTGCTCTCAAAGTCGTCTCATTCATGATCAGGGCCTGGGGGATGCTAAGGGGCCAACGCTGAGCCAGCCCCCAGAGGAGGAGCCTGGACTCCCTCCAGAGCCCACGCGCCCACCTGCCCAGCTTCTCATCTCTGCCTGGGCAGGTAGCAGGGGTGCAAGCACGTGCCCGTGTTCTGCGTGCGGTGCTGAGAAGTGGGCCCATGTACCCATGCAGGCAGGAGCCTTCACCCCTCCTGCTGGGCTCAGCCCTCTGAAGTAAAATTTCTTTCTGCTCAGAGGCTGCCTTCTTTCTCTCCTCATCCTGTCCAGGGCTTAGGGACCAGGAGTGGAGAAGGGGGGGGCTTGTGTACCCGCCTGCATTCCTGGGGCAGGTTGAGGGCTCCTCATGGAGCTTTGGTGGACACACCCATCCAGAAACATCCCAGGAATGGATTCCCTCTAGCCCCTCCCATCCTAGGGGGCCAGTGGCCACAGCTGTGGCCAGTGGGGTTCCAGAGGAGCCACTTTGGGTGCCCGCTTCTAGTGCCATGTGGTTTGGAAGGGAAGTGGGCCAAAGGGTCAGGGACACTGCCCTCTTAGCCTCAGACATCCATGGAGGGGAGTAAATCTGAGCCCAGGCTCTAGAGAGGCCAACTGTAGGTGAAGGGCCTGGCCTGCCCATGTGGCCCCCTTGATCCTGGTCACTCTGCTCCAAGCCAGTAGGAGAGCAAATGGGGCCTGGTCCCCAGCCTGGCCACAGGGCCCAGCTGTCCCCTGTGCCTCCCTGTCAAGGACACCACACCCTATTCCTCTTCACCCAACAGCACCATCTGCTCAGCTCAGGGCCCCAGTCAGTTGAAAGAACCATGTGGTATGTGCCCCTTCCCTGCCCCGAAAGTTCAGCAGACCCGTCTCCTCCCTTTCTGTCTGCCTCTGTCTCGGGTTTGTCTCTTTGCTTCTGATGGTGTCTGATTCCATCTACTTGTCTCCTTTTGCCCCCTCCTCGTGGTCTCTTTCTCTCTCCCTCTCACTGCCTGTTTTTGTCTAGCTCATTCTCTTTTCTCTCCTTTCCTCGTCCCATTGCCACTTTTCCAACACCTTCCTTTCCTCTCTCTCCCCATTCGGTTCCACCTCTGTCTTTCCTGCTTTCTTCTCACTCTGCTTCTGATGCAGGAGAGGTACCACGTGAGAACCATCATGCCAGATTCTCTTTTCTCTCCTTTCCTCGTCCCATTGCCACTTTTCCAACACCTTCCTTTCCTCTCTATCCCCATTCGGTTCCACCTCTGTCTTTCCTGCTTTCTTCTCACTCTGCTTCTGATGCAGGAGAGGTACCACGTGAGAACCATCATGCCAGGGCCTGACTTGGACAGCCCAGGTCTTCCTCCAAGCAAGGAAACTAGAACAGAGGTGGGCCCAGCCACACTCTATAAACTGGCCACAGCCATTAGCAACCTGTCTAGCCTTCTGCCATATTCAGTCTGTTCCACACTCCTTGCAAGGACTTTCTAACAGAGCTTCCCGGAACAGGAGGAACTTAGGCCACAGCACTGAGGCTGGTGGACAGAGGCCAGGCCAGCACTAGGAGGTTTGGGCCAGAGGACTCCAGGGTAGCTCCAGTCTGGAGATGTCATGGATCATCTCCCTGTGCTGTGCTGGACACTGGCCAGCCTGTACCCCTCCATTGCCACAGGGCCTCAGAATGGAGGCCTCAGTCCCCCACCTGTCCACCTAGTGTACCTATATATACCAATGGCCTGCAACACTGCCAGCCCTAAAACTTGTCCCTCCTTGATTCTCAGGCACCCCCAGGAAGGAACAGTGGTGTGGGTAGTTCCCTGTGTTTATGGGGCAAGGCCCCGGCTCTGAGCTTGGCACTCATGGTCTTCCTAATCTTGCTGGCCAGCCTGCCCCTTGGCCCACCCCAGCCACAGTACAGTCTGTACTGTTCTGGGACACTCCGTATGCCTAGGGTAACTATAATTTAATGTCTCAACTGAGATACTTCTGCGAATAGAAGGAGACATTGTGAATATCATACCATGGCAACAAGCATAGGCCAGGACTGTCCCAGGCCAACCAGGGTGTACGTACAGTCACCACATTTACTACCTGCCCCTCCCACCCCATGTCTTCCCTCCCTGCTGCTTTAGCTGTTGAAACCACCCCTACATCTGGCAGCCTCTCCCTTGGAGCACCTCCAGCTGGAATTCTCTGAGCCCTCAGTTTCAGCAGGCCCTCTCCCTTCAGGTCGTCTTCTCTCTAGGTCTCCCTACCCTCCTCAGCCCTGGCACACACCATTGGTGCTCAGTGAGGCAGGGACTTGAATCTTCGGACAGGGAGTGGTCCAGGGGTGCTGCCCCCCGCCAGACACTGCAGAGGCCCAAGCTCTCCATCCATCCTCCCTGTGGTCAGGTCCCCTCCAGGCCAGAGTCTGTCACCATCCTGTCTCCCTTTTTCTCCCTCTCCCGCGGTCAGTGGCAGCCAGAGGAGTCCGAGGACTATGTAAGTAACAGGTGTGCAAGAGTGGGCAAGAGCTGGGTCAGGCTGGGCTCACGGGACACTCTCCCTCTCCCTCCTTTCCTGCCAGCCTGTGCCGCCAAGATCCACAGGGCACCAGCCATATCCAGAGAAAATTGGCGTTTAGACGTAAGCACCGAGCTGAGCAGCGATTGGCATTTTCTCTAATCCTTACTTCTCGCCTGTTGAGCAGCAATTTGAGGCCAGTGTTCCTGATCGACCAGGGCCTGGCCCCTGCTCCAGCCAGACAGGGTTGGAGTTAAATCCAATCCTGATCGTTAGGCCTTATTGATCCCTGGTGTGAAAAATCTCCTGCTTGAGGGCCCAGGCTGGGAGGGGAGTCTTGGGAGCCAGGTTCAGGCATTGGTGCATTCTGGAGCCCCAGCCCTGGGAGACCCTCCAGCTGGGGCAAGAGGGGCCTGCGAGGGGTTGGTGGTGGCTGCAAAGGCCCCACCTGAAATTCAGAGCTGGAAGGACACCAGGGTTGGTGGTGACAGCTTTGTTCCCACTATACCGTGATCCCCTCCCTTCTTTCCACTCTTCCCTCTATGTGGTGTGGCTTGGCCTCTCGTGGTGTTTCTCCGCATGTCCAGAAATGATGTTTTTGCTGGAAAGGGGTATATGAGCAGGGTCTGCCAAGGCAGGAGGACATTGCCTTGGCCAATATTTCTGGCATCACTGGGAACAGATGGAGAAGTGTGTTCCTTCTCCTAGTCTGTCCCCCAGCCCTGGGCTCAGAAGGTATTTCAGGGCATGGATGTTCGTGGAGTCAGTGGCCTAGATGGGGGTCAGATGGGGTCCTGACTTGCACTTGTAGGGTGGCGCTTTGGAGCCTCCCCCCACTTCGCACCATGTGCAAGTGTGTGTATGTGAGTGTACGTACATACATACATGCATTAGTGTCCACAGGTGGCCTTTGCGCCTGCTTATGCAGAAGGAGCTGTAAGCTATATGCATGTGCGTGCCAAGAGCCATGCAAGGTGCTGGATGCGTGCAAGGCTCCGTGCCATGTGTGCATGTGTGCACAGACCTCACGAGATGTCATTCACAGCACAATGGAGTGAAGGAAACATTGTGGCCTTTTGTTCTTGTCTGAAAGGAAGAATGAGCTGCCTGCCCCAGGCCTGCAGCTCCTGGGGATGGGTGGGGTCTTCCCAGGCCCGCATCCCATCTACCTGTCCTGCCTTCAGCAGAGTCCACCCTAGCGCAGCCCCACCTTCCAGACTGCTGACCCCATGTGCCCCCCTTGGGCTAAGGTCCTGAGGTGGCTGACATGGTCTGGCCTCTCGCTGCACTCTTGTGATGGGAATGGGCCCTCCTCCCTCAGGAGACCACCATCAGCGGCCTGACCCCAGAGACCACCTACTCTATTACTGTTGCTGCCTACACCACCAAGGGGGATGGTGCCCGGAGCAAGCCCAAAATTGTGACGACAACAGGGGCAGGTGAGTGAGGAGTTAGGGACAGAGCTGAGGGTGGGACAGCAGGGAGGGCAGCACCAGAGCCCAGCACATGGTTGTTCAGTCCCAGGCCGGCCCACCATGATGGTCAGTACCACGGCTATGAACACCGCCCTCCTCCAGTGGCACCCACCCAAAGAACTGCCTGGTGAGCTGCTGGGTTACCGGCTGCAGTACCGCCGGGCCGATGAGGCACGGCCCAACACCATAGACTTCGGCAAGGATGACCAGCACTTTACAGTGACTGGCCTGCACAAGGGGGCCACCTATATCTTCCGGCTTGCCGCCAAGAACCGGGCTGGCCTAGGTGAGGAATTCGAGAAGGAGATCACGACCCCTGAGGACGTGCCCAGTGGCTTCCCCCAAAACCTGCGCGTGACAGGACTGACCACATCTACCACGGAACTGGCCTGGGACCCGCCAGTGCTGGCGGAGAGGAACGGGCGCATTACCAACTACACCGTGGTGTACCGCGACATCAATAGCCAGCAAGAGCTGCAGAACATCACTGCTTCCACCCGCCTTACACTTTCCGGCCTCAAGCCGGATACCACTTATGACGTCAAGGTTCGAGCACGTACCAGCAAAGGCGCCGGCCCACTCAGCCCCAGCATCCAGTCCCGGACCATGCCTGTGGAGCAAGGTGTGTGCTGCTCCTGCCTAAGTGTGGCTGCGCCTGGGGACCTCTGTTCTCCTTGACCCACTGACCTCTGGCAACTGATCCACCAGCCTCTGGTGTGTGACCTTCAGTCTCTTGTGGCCATGCCTGTGGAGCAAGGTGTGTGCTGCTCCTGCCTAAGTGTGGCTGCGCCTGGGGACCTCTGCTCTCCTTGACCCACTGACCTCTGGCAACTGATCCACCAGCCTCTGGTGTGTGACCTTCAGTCTCTTGTGGCCATGACCACTAACCTCTAGTGATTGGGCGTCACATTCTTGGGTGTGTGGCTCCTGATCTCTGCTGTCCTTGACCTATTGATCTCTGCTGTGTAACCTTCCAGTCTTCTTGTGACCTTGACCCACTGATCTCTTTTGACTGTATCACCATTCTCAGGTGTGCAACCTGCTGATGGTTGGTGTGTGACACTAATCTCTTGGGTCCGTGACCCACTGACCTCTAGTGAACGTGTTCCACTGTGCTCTGGTGTGTGACCACATGCTTCTCATGACCAAAACACACTGACCTGTGATCATACTGACCTGTTTCTGGGAACTCAAGCTTTTACCCACACACTTCCAGAGGTTCTGACCATGAGTGCCATGATATCCCTGGCTCAGTTCAGTGCTCACTGTGTGGAAGAGCTTGGGCGGGGAGTTGAACTGTGCAGTTTGGAGCTGGCTGGGAGCGGGGGTGCTTGGTACTCTGCAGCTGTTCCTAAACCCTCCACACCCCAACCAGTGTCTCCTGGTGGGGAACCCTCCTAGCCCATTCACCCCGCCCCACCCCATGTACCCAGCCAGATCTGACCCCCTTCTTATGCCTCCACAGTGTTTGCCAAGAACTTCCGTGTGGCAGCTGCGATGAAGACATCTGTGCTGCTCAGCTGGGAGGTCCCCGACTCCTACAAGTCGGCTATACCCTTCAAGGTAGGTAAGGGCCACAGCCAGCCAAGCCCAGCACACACACGGGCCTGCTGTGTGCCATCATTCCAATCCCAGCCCACATGTGTGAATGTCTGTGCTGCAGGACCTTTGTGTGCACACATGCTGTGCCCCACAGGCCCATGATGGGTAACCTCAGCCAGAGGCACTGCCACACTCCCCCCACTGTTCTCGCAGATTCTGTACAACGGGCAGAGTGTGGAGGTGGATGGGCACTCGATGCGGAAGCTGATTGCAGACCTGCAGCCCAACACAGAGTACTCGTTTGTGCTGATGAACCGTGGCAGCAGTGCAGGAGGCCTGCAGCACCTCGTGTCCATCCGCACAGCCCCCGACCTCTTGCCGCACAAGCCACTGCTTGCCTCTGCCTATATAGAAGATGGCCGCTTCACCCTCTCCATGCCACATGTGCAAGACCCCACGCTCATCAGGTGTGCAGACGAGGCCCGGGGAGGCAGGGCAGGGTTGGGGGCCGCTGGTGATGACAGTCCTGATTCCTTCTCTGCCCACCCAGATGGTTCTACATCGTGGTGGTGCCAATTGACCGTGTGGGTGGGAGCATGCTGGCGCCAAGATGGAGCACACCCGAGGAGCTGGAACTGGACGAGGTGCCTGGGGAGGGGACAGGGCACTAAGGACAGCCCCACTGCATGGTTGGTCGTGGCCTCCCTGCCCTGACCATGGCCCCAGTGGACTTGCCCAGATTCAGTCCTCAAATTGAAATCAGTCTCCTGGTTGCCCTGGCTGGCAGCTTGCCCCATCTCTGAAGAGAGGGGCTCAGAGGTGAACCCCCTGGAAGTGTTCAGAGAACTCCCTGGAGGTGTTTGACGAGAATCTCCTGGGGTGGGAAGGAGTGGAGATGCCGGTGCCGGTCTAGAGAATCCCCAGCCCTGTAGACTTTGGAGAGTCCCGCAGATCCAGAGTGAGCCCTGCAGCCTGTGGTCCTCCGGAGCATTTGGAATCCTTGGTCCTCTGCTCACAGCCAGTGTGGAAACAACCCTTTCTGGTTAGGATGAGGGCAGATTGTCCATAGGGGCTCTTGTCATGAGCTGGCGGGGAGGAGTGGCACTACAATGAGGGCCGCGGGCCAGACTTGGGCCCCTTACAGGGAAGGTGAGCTTCCGTCTCAGCCCAGGGAGCTGATGACCCAGGCTGTGGCCCCACGTGTCTCCTGTGTTCTGCCCTGCCAGCTTCTGGAAGCCATCGAGCAGGACAGTGAGGAGCGGCGGCGGCGGCGGCAGGCAGAGCAGCTAAAGCCATATGTGGCTGCTCAGGTGGATGTGCTCCCCAAGACCTTCACCCTGGGGGACAAGAAGAGCTACCGGGGCTTCTACAACCGGCCGCTGTCTCCAGACCTGAGCTACCAGTGCTTTGTGCTCGCCTCCCTGAAGGAACCCGTGGATCAGGTTTGCCTGAGTCAGCTTGGCTCCCAGCACCCCAAGACCCCAGATCTGCATTAGCCCAGGGACTCCCAGATCCCTGGCCTGGGGCAGCCCCTGAAGGAACCCGTGGATCAGGTTTGCCTGAGTCAGCTTGGCTCCCAGCACCCCAAGACCGCAGATCTGCATTAGCCCAGGGACTCCCAGATCCCCAAGACCTGCATGAGGGATCCCAAGACTAGGGATCTAAGCCCTAGGACGAGAAGGCCAGACCTAATCTGGCCCCAGGGACCCAGTCCTGCTTACTAGGCTGAGGTCAGCCTCTTAGGATCTAGGAGACCAGGCCTGGCCCAGCCTGGCGTGAGACGAGAAGGCCAGACCTAATCTGGCCCCAGGGACCCAGTCCTGCTTACTAGGCTGAGGTCATCCTCTTAGGATCTAGGAGACCAGGCCTGGCCCAGCCTGCCCCAGCCCCAGAGCCATTTCTCCAGGTTGATGAGCAGAGGGTGGGGGCTCTCATGTTGAGCTCACTGCCTGTGCTGTTCCTCTGCTGGGCCACAGAAGCGCTATGCCTCCAGCCCCTACTCGGATGAGATTGTGGTGCAGGTGACACCAGCCCAGCAGCAGGAGGAGCCCGAGATGCTGTGGGTGACGGGCCCCGTCCTGGCGGTCATCCTCATCATCCTCATTGTCATCGCCATCCTCCTGTTCAAGAGGTGAGCCCTGCCCTCGGGGCTCCAGGGGATAGCCACCCCACCCCCTCCCTCCCAATCCCTCTGGGTGTGGGCGTGAAAAGGTGCAGCCATCCCAGCCTGGCCCCGGGCCCTGGGCTCAGGGAAGCCAGGAAAGGCAGAAGCAGTGTGTGTGCGTGTACCTGCATCTGCATGCATGTGGCTGTCGAGTGGGCGCTCTGTGTGTGTCAGCCTGGTGTGAAGAGGAGTTGAAGCTCCACAGAGGGCCATCCTTGCGCACTCTGGGCACGTCTGTCTGTCTCTGTGGATGTGAGCATGTCTGTCTCCTCTTCAGCTTCAGGACAACCCTCCCCTGCCTCCTTCCATAAACGCCTTCCTTCTGCCGCCATTCCTAGATGACCCCCCAGCCTCACTCTCCTCCTTACGCCTAGGAGCTAAGCTGCAGGCCCACATGCCCACGGACATTCACTTAGCAGACATTTATTGGCCCTGTGTGACCACAGCATCCACAGCAGTCTCAGCCTCAGTGTGTCCGTACTTAGTCCTCCCTCTTGGGTAGTTGCAGCCACCTGTCCATGGAGTCTCCCCTTCCTATCTGTCCACCTCCCAGCCTGAAAGGTATTTCCAAAGATTTAGCTGTGTCACTCTCAGTTTAAAACCTTTTGGGGCTCTCAACTCAAAGCCCAGTCTCTTCAGCCTGACAGTCAAACACCTGGTTAATCTGGCACCTGCCGCCACCCCTGACATCACACTGAACTAATGCAGTTCCTGGTGCAGGCTGTGCCCTGCTTTCCCTGCCTACTGGCAACTGCCACCTCATCCTTCAAGACTCAGTTCCAGGCTCTGGTGCCTGTGAAGCCTTCCCTGGTCCTGCACAGCCCTTGATCTGTCCCCGTGATGCTCTGTAGGGAACTTGGCTGAGCCTCCAGCCCCAGCACAGGTCTGATGACATGCGTGTCAGTGCATGCCTGGCAGATGAACACGTGCTGGTCTGTGTGTCTGAACACATCTCCACATAGGAGTACCTGTCTCCTGTGCCCATCCATCCCCTGCCCTTGACCAGTGCTCCCTCCTGAAGAGTTAGTTCACTCCTTCCAAGGTGGAGTGTGGGCGGGGCCCTGAGGAGTGTCCCCCACACATTGCATCCTTCCCACTCCTACCTGGATCCTGGTGTCTGTCTGGAGAGGTGAACCCCCTCCCTTTGAATATCACATGGGTGCCATATAAGGGTCCTGCAGTGTCCCCATGTCATGAGAGGTCTGAGTGCTTGGCGGAAACAGTGACCGTTCCTTTCTTCTGTCCTTGCTTGTCTTTCGGGACCTAGTAAACAAGAAAGGTAGGAGTCGTTCCTTCTCTCTTCACACGCCTACCCCTCTATTTCTTAACCTTGTACACATTTCGGGCCAGCAGGGAGGGACAGCGCTTTGACCAGAAGCCTCCTGTCCTATGGCTTTAAGCAGCAAACTCTCCATTCAGCTCAGCTGGCTCCCCAGCTCCCGGGTTCGGGACTGAATCCTCACTGGCGTGAGGGGGCAGGCTCTGTTGCTGTCTTGCCAGTTCAATTCTGTGCCCTCCACAGAGGATGCTCCTGCTCTAGGGCACGTGCATAATGCAGACTTTGTTACCTCCCCTGAGTGCACAAAGCTCACCAGAACCTTCCCTAAGCTCCCAGTTCTCAGAAGTTAAAGTGCTGCAAGAAACCGTCTTGCATATGTGCAAAGAGCACTCACTCTGCAGAGCAGCAGGGAAGTGTGTCCTGATACGCACACATGAGCATGCTCACACAAGTGCCTTCTCCCCAGATACACACGTGTGCAGACTACAGCTGGCCCCTCGATATTTGTTAGCAGCTGGACCCTACAGTCTGTCTCTGACCCTGTCCTTGTAGACAAGAAAGCAGAGGCCAGCAAGGGTGATGCCTTCCGTGTCTCTCCCCTGCTGCTCTGGACACCTATCCTGGTATCTGAGAGCCAGACAGTTGGAGCCCAGTCCCCTCTGATGTTTGCATATTTTATGTGTCATTTGCATGTTTATTCCTGGTGATTCTTGCTGCCTAAGCTGTGGTGGCCTTGGGGGATAGCAGCCACTGCACATCAGTGATCTGCCTTCTGTCCAAAAGAGTTGCCAGCCTCTGTGAACCCTTCCTCCCTCGCTGCTCCGCCCCCCACTCCATGCTCCTTCTGTCTCCCCCCATCCCTGTTCTGTGTTCTTGAGGCTGCTCTGCCCCTGGTTCCTCCTTGCTCAGAGACTCCGGGGTGAAGTGGGTGGGTGGGGGGGGGGACAGCCAGCCATGCTGTGCATCACTGCCCTCGGCCTGGGCCTCAGGCCCTACCACCTCCCTTCTGCCTCTTTAGGAAGAGAACCCACTCCCCATCATCGAAGGGCCAGATACAAAGTGGGTGGGGGGGGGGGGGGACAGCCAGCCATGCTGTGCATCACTGCCCTCGGCCTGGGCCTCAGGCCCTACCACCTCCCTTCTGCCTCTTTAGGAAGAGAACCCACTCCCCATCATCGAAGGATGAGCAGTCAATTGGGCTGAAGGATTCCTTGCTGGCCCACTCCTCTGACCCTGTGGAGATGCGGAGGCTCAACTACCAGACCCCAGGTAGGGCGACCCTTACAGCCCGCTTGTCCCCCAGCCTAGACCAGGTAGGCCCACGGGCTCTGTTCCACCAAATGCCCCAGGCCACATGTCCAGTTCTTGCTCCTTTTATTCCTTTTTGCCCTTGTCCCTGTACCCATCAATGGACCACAATGACTGAGGAGCCCTTGTATCCAACAGCTGGATAGGTGCCTCAGCCAGAGTGGCAAAGCTGTTTAGCTCCTGCCTTTTCTTCAGTCAGAGCCTTTGACTACAGCCTAAAGACCCCCCCCAAGCCGACATCCCTGCCACGGGCTGACCAGTGTCTGCATCCACACTTGGGCCCCTCCACACGAAAGAGCAGCATGTTAGCAGTGGGGGAGGCCCCACCAGACACGTGCAGGGAGATGGGGTGCCCATATTGGGCCCTTCTTGGAGGTCAGCCCCAGGTCTACTAAGCAAAGACAGGGAGCCCAGCTCAGGGCTTGGTGCCTGCCCTTCCTCCCAGCCACTCTCGCATGGCTGTCTGGCTGCTGCTTCTACCTGCAGTGCCACTCCTCCCCTGCACCCAGCAGACAGCTCAGACCTTTCCTGCTGGGAGAGGCCTCCACACAGGGTTAGGGGTCTCACTGTGGCTCCCAGAGCTCTCTGCTTCTTCCATCGTGACACGCCTCACAGGGGGCTGGAATTGCCTCAGTGACAGTCTCTGAGCTCTGTGACGCCAGGAGCTGTGTCTTATTCATCCCCACCTCTTGTGTTCAGCACTCAGTGGGTTCATGTTGAATGCCTGTGAAATGAACACAGCTGAACGAATGAGTGAGCTAATGCATGCACACGGGGTTTGTGGATGTGTGTGTGAGTTATTAATGCATATCAAATTACCCCAAAACTTAGTGGTGGAAAACAATAGTAATTACGTATCATTTCTCACAGTTTTTGTGAGTCAGGACTGCAGACAGGGGCACAGCAAGAACAGCTTGTCTCTATTCCAGAATGTCTGGGCCCTCAGCCGGAAGACTCGAAGGCTTGGAGCTAGAATCATTTAAAGCAGGGGTTGGCAAACTGTGGCCAGTGGCCAGATACAACCACCACCTGTTTTTGTAAATAAAGTTCTACTGGCACACAGCCACGCCCATTCACTTATATACTGTCTACGATTACTTTCTCAGTACAAAGGCAGTGTTAAATAGATGTGGTACCTACTACAAATGTCCATAAAGCCTAAAATATTTACTCTCTGGCTTTTTATAGGTAAAGTTTGCCAACACCTGGATTCTAAGGACTCGTTCACTCACTTGTCTGTTAGCTGATGAGCTGGCTGTGAGCCTAGCTGGGGCTATCAGCTGGGATGCCCACGTGAGGCCTCTTCATGTGGCCTGGGCTTCCTTACAACATGGTGACTGAGTCCCAAGGTCACATGTCTGGGGAGAGATTGTGCCAGGCATACCTAGCAGATTATTGCAACCCAGCATGATTAGATCTGTGAGGAAGCCAAGCACCAGGATGGCAAGCCTGTGAGGCAAAGAAGCCTCCTCTGGGAGGGGATATGCCAGGCCATGTGGCATTGGTCAGGAAAAGGGGATGGGGGATGGCTAGCTAGCTCCCTTCCGTGGAAGCATATGCAGAGGCTCCGGAGCATTACACATGCATCAGATATGGGCACTTGAGAGTTACTGCAGCACTGGAGCTGGGGGGTGGGGGATATTGAGCCAAGAGATGATTGGAAGGATGGGCACAGGTCCAGTCACAGACAACCTCAAACTCCAGGCTAGTGGGTTCGAGCTTTGTCTTGAGGGTTCCACGGAGGCACTGAAGGTTTTCAGCAGGGGAGCAACGTGTTCAGACTTGTGCTTTAGAAATATCACTCTGGCTGCTGTGTGGAGAATGGGTTGTAGGGGGAGAAATTGGGGCAAGTAGACTATTTAGAAAGCCACTAAGTAGGTGACAGGTGGCAGAGGGGATGGAGAGAAGGGACAGACTTGGGAAATGTGAAGGAGGCACGGGCAGCAGGGCTCAGGCTTGAGTCCATGCAGGGGGCAGGCAAGGGTGGCTATGCAGTTGCTAGCTGGGTGATGGGTGGGGGGTGTCCTGGTGGCAGCGGGTCTGTGGGTTTGGAGCTCTTCACTGACGTTGGGGCTGAAACCACCATTGTGGGAGGTGCCGAGGAGCATACTATGGTCAAAGCCTGGGAATAGATGGGCGCTCCCAAAGAGAGGGCGGGAAGAAGAGGGGCCGAAAAGGGCAGGTGATGCAGTGTTAAGAAAACATGGAGGAAGAGCAGCCAGCGAGATTAACAAGGTGCCACCAGAGAGAACAGGAGGAGTGCCATGTCCCTGAGGCTGGGGCGGGGGACAGCTGCGTGAGGGAAGGGGATTTAGTGATGCAGAGTAGTGGGGAGCCCCAGAGGGAGGACCCTTGGCCTTGGCAGGTGAGACCTCGGAGAGAGAGGGGCTGCCGACTTCTGGGGCAGTGCAGTTCAGTGGGTTGAGGGCAAGTGGAATACAGACGTGGAGAAATGCCTTCCACAGGCCAGTGTGAGAAGGGGATGGTGGCAGGAGCATAGCAAGAGTCACAGAGGGGTGTAGGATAGAAAAACAATTTCTTTTTTTCCAATATGGAAATAATCCAAAATTAGCCAAGGCCAAATTTTGACACAAGAGGATCCAAGGGTTGGTTTGGACTTCGTACTCAATCACCCAGGCCTGCAGAGTTTGGAAGCACTTACCTCTGGAGCTGGGGCATCCACCTGTGTTACTACGAGACTGAAGGGTTAGGGTCTTGTCCCGCAAGCCCAGGCCCTCACTGCCCGGCTGACCCCTTCTTCCTGCCAGCCTCCCGAGCCTTCTCAGCCCTTTCCCCACCCCACCACCCTTGCACCGTGCCCGACAGCTATGTGACCAGGGAGGGTTAACAGGCTCTCTTCTCTTGCCCCGTTGTTTTTTTTTTGTTTGTTTCTCTGCAGGTTCCAGTGTCCCCAGTTGCCCGAATATCTCAAGTTAGTTTTCAAAGTTCCCGTGTTTGGGGGAAACTTTGGCTTCTGTGTCTGTGTCCACTCCTCTCCTTCCTACCCTGTCGTCTCCCTCCTTCCTGAATTCTCGTTCCATTTCCTCTTTTCTCTCCCTTCTCGATGCCTCCACACCTTTTCCTCTCTCCGTCCTCCTCTCTGCTTCTTCCAGTTCTGTTTTCTCCCCACTGGTCCTGTCTCTGTCTCTGCCTCTCCCACCTCTGGTTTCAGTCTGATACCTTTGTCTGTCTGTCTCCACATCTCCTTCCTCATCCCTGCTGCTCTCCGTGTTCCTTTGTGTAACTTGCCCATCGTCTTTACTTCGTGACCACTCCATCCACACACCTGGTGCCTGGGATGATGATGTCACCAAGTCTCCCATGGTGACTGGTGCCAGTGAGAGGCAGGAGGGCTGTCCTCAGGCGGGTGCGGTGGGAGACCAGCTTCCTTCCATCCTGTCGGGGGCCATCGACTTGGGCTTGCAGCCCCCATCTGGGAGGGAGGAAGCCTCTCATCCCACTGGAACAGGCCCGCCAGGCAGGGCCCTGGTGCCCCCACTCGGCGCTGCACCACCGGACACGCTCCACCGCTCCTGGCTCAACACTTCCCTCTCTGGCCTCTCCCACCCTCCAGCCACTGTGAGCTCCACCATTCCAGTCGCCGCATGTGCTGCCGCCTCCATGCCACCAGTGCCGAGTGCTCCATGGTCACACATGTTCACATGTGCACATACTTGCATTGGGGCTGTTTCTGCTACCCCGTTCAGGCCTCATGCTAACTCTGCCTGTTTGTGCCCCACCTCTCCCAGGTATGCGAGACCACCCGCCCATCCCCATCACTGACCTGGCAGACAACATTGAGCGTCTCAAAGCCAACGATGGTCTCAAGTTTTCCCAGGAGTATGAGGTGAGACGTCCCCCGCCTTGCCATGTGCCTATCCTGGGCCTAGCCCCATACCAGCTCCTGTCTTGTCCCAGGTCCCACCTATGTCTAGGAGACTCCAGGCTTTCCTGCAGCACAGAGAGAAGGGCTAGCAGTGCAAGGTGCAGCTGGGTAGGTGGGCTGCTTGGGAGATGCTTCAAAGGCTGTGCGTGCCCCCAGGGTTAAGATTTTCAGACCCTTGCCCACATGCTAACAGAGGCAGACACAAGGTCACAGACACAGACCAAGAATAACAGCCCTAACAGCTGGCATCTTCAAGAGCTTGCTGTATCATCTCGTTCAGTCCCCCACAGCCTTATGAATGAGACTGTTATTCTCCTGTCTCACAGGTGAGGAAGTGGGGCTCAGCAAGGGGGTCTAGGTTTGCCCAAGATCAAACCTCTGATGAGTAGCAGAGCCTGCCTGACACCCTGTGCCCTGCACATGCATGTGCTCATGTGTGGACTTAGAATGGCACAGCTCATAAAAGATGGGCACTTGGGGCTCGAGGCTTGCTACTCAGGATGCACACATCCCCCTGCTTGGGTCCCTCCACATGCTCAGCTCGCTGTGACCTTGACTACTACCTGCTGGGGCTCAGACTACAGGATCTGAAGGCATCCGTTCCCAGCTGGTGGCAGCTCCACAAGCTGAGGGTCCCCAGGATGCCCAGCTTTGGTAGAGAAGGTGATAAAGGAGAGATCTGCCTTCTCTAGAAGCTCAGGTGGAGATGTCTTTCTTCCTTCTCCACCACTGTTTCCCCAGCATCTGACATCAATACATGAGTGATGGATAGGTGATTGGCTCTGCCCAGCCTGAGTTTGCTCCCCTTTCAAGCAGATGTCTACCCTCGGCTGTGTTTGAAGGCTGCATCTCAGGGTACCATGATTGCCTTTCCAAGGGCTATGGGCCAAGTAGATTACAAGGGATGTGGACCAGGTTTCTGAAGAGGAAATTGAGCTTGGCAGGCAATTGGGTAAACATGTCTGCTGCAAAGCAACTGTGCTCCCTCTACCTTAGAGCACCCACTGGGGCACTGCTTCGCAGTAGGCTGTGCTGTGGAGTGATGAAGTTCGTAAGCTGGGCTCCTGCCTTTGGTTCTCTGTCTCACTGGGAAGGCCTTCTGTGGTCTTCTGCCTGTACTCATCCGTATCGCATCCCACACTGGCCCATCCTTCCAGCGAGGCTCTGCCTCACTGTCTGGGCTCACAGTACCTCTGTCCACAGTAGGTACCCACTGGGGCACTGCTTCGCAGTAGGCTGTGCTGTGGAGTGATGAAGTTCGTAAGCTGGGTTCCTGCCTTTGGTTCTCTGTCTCACTGGGAAGGCCTTCTGTGGTCTTCTGCCTGTACTCATCCGTATCACATCCCACACTGGCCCATCCTTCCAGCGAGGCTCTGCCTCACTGTCTGGGCTCACAGTACCTCTGTCCACAGTAGGCCCCCATCCATTTTCCACCAACTTCTCTCTTCCCCCTGAGTTTTCCTTGCAAGAGCAAGAACATTTCCTCTTCTTCCAAGAGCCTTCTCTGGCCACCCAAGGCTGCTGTGGGTTCTCCCTGAGACAGTATCCCATAGCTCTGTTACCTTTTAACATGTAGTTAGTCATTCATCACACATTTGCCAGCATTTACCATGTGCTGGTCCCTGGGGATATGGAGGCAAATGCTCCCGGGGAGACCGGTCAGTGGAGAAGCACGTGCAGACAGATAATCAGCATTGAGCCCTGGTAATCAAATGACTGACACATGTGGAGAAGGTACACTGACTGCACTGAAACAGCCTGAGGGTTGGGTGGGCTGGGGGGTTCTCATGGATGCAGTGACACTATCCTCTGGAGAGGATGGAGGGTGGGCCAAAATATGCAGTGCGTTATGTGTTGTGCTGAAGACTTTGTATTATCTTCGTATGTAAAGTGAGGCTACTAATAGGACCTGTCTCATGAGAACTAGACAAGGGAATACATGCACAGTGCTTCCAGCAGTGCCAGGCACAGGCCTGAGTTCTCGCTAAGACTTGGCTATTATTGTTATTGCTATCTGAGGTGATGAAGAGCCATGGAAGGCTTTTTAGCAGAAAATTGATACTCAGATCTGCAGTTTAAAAGAATTGATCTGGCTGCAGGACAGAATGGACCGGGGTGGGCAAGAGGGAAGAGGCAGGGGTTGGGGTGGCCTAGCCGAGGGCAGTGGCAGCAGGTTGGAGAGCAGGGGTGGGGTGGGGGGTGCACTGGGACATGGTGACCAATGAGAGGGGCACGGAAGGTTTTTGAGGTTGGCCTGCAGGTTCTGGCCTGGGCTTCTGGGTGGATGGGTGATGGCGCCCTTCATTGAGGCAGAGTCCCAACAGCAGAGCCAGGTGTGCAGGGGACGCCAATGAACTTGGCTTTGGAAGAATTGAGATTGAAGGACCTGCGAGAGCTCCAGGTGGAGATGTCTGGGAGCCTGCTGGACTTTCAGGGGAGCTCTGGGCTGCAGCATACAGATGTAAGAGTCTCACAAGCAAATGTGGTCACTGGGAAAGGTTGTAGAGTGAGAGGAGGGCCTTGCAGGAACCCTGGGAAGCCCTGTGTTCTACCTACGGAAAGTGCAGGGGAAGGAGAAGAGACAAAAGGAACAGCCAGAGAGGTAGGAGAGCCGGGCAAGAAGTTGCCACAGGTGTCCAAAGCACTTGGAAGGTTCCAGTGCCACACAGGGGGCCACCACTGCCTTTCTGTCTGTACTTATTTCATCAGTTGGGTGCAGGGCTTGAGGGACCTTTTCCCTGCCCCCACCCCACCCCAGACCATTTCTCTTAGGCAAGGGGATTTGCTACCACGGTCAGAGGAGTCCTTAGTCCACCAGTGTCCTGATAGGTGATATGGCAGCCTCTGATCTCCATGGCTGGAAGAGGTGGTGTTAACCTTCACCAGCACCATGGGGTAGAGGAGCTGGCTGTGGCCTATGGTGCAAAGGCTGGCTGTCACCTCCAGCTGGAAGGCTGGGTCCCCTCAGGAAGTAGATAGTCCTTGGCTCTTACCCCATTCCTTCCTCCATTCCCTGCAGTCCATTGACCCTGGACAGCAGTTCACATGGGAGAATTCCAACCTGGAGGTGAACAAGCCCAAGAACCGCTATGCAAATGTCATTGCCTACGACCACTCTCGAGTCATCCTCACCTCCATCGATGGTGAGCCATCCCCTTGCTCTGTGTCCCCTTGCTGGCTGGGGTGACATTTCACCCCACAGAAGATGTCCTCAAGTCTCAGGTGCATTGAGGCATGGTGGGTGGGCTGGGGTCCCTGGGGCGATGCTCTCCCACATCCCTTCTTGTCCATAGGTGTCCCCGGGAGTGACTACATCAATGCCAACTACATCGATGGCTACCGCAAGCAGAATGCCTACATTGCCACACAGGGCCCGCTGCCTGAGACCATGGGTGATTTCTGGCGGATGGTGTGGGAACAGCGCACGGCCACTGTGGTCATGATGACGCGGCTGGAGGAGAAGTCCCGGGTGAGACTGTGCAGGGACTTGTCAAGAGGCAGGTGGGAAATACTCAACCACCAGATGACATTGGGAAGTTTTCTGTCCTCTTTCTGTCCTTATGGGAAGAAGTTTCTCAAGGGATTCCCCAAATGCTGTTGTGTTCCTGGGGCATTATCATGCTCTCTAGATTCTGGGTTGTTCTTGGGATATAGCATGTTTTCCAGATGCTACTGGTTTCCTAGGATGTTCATATATTTCACCAAATGCTGTCATTTTCTGGTGATGTTAATATGTTCTCCTGTTGCTGGCATGTTCCCGGGATATTCACATGTTCCCCAGATGCTGGAGTGCTCCTGGGGCATTAACACATCTCCTAAGTTAATTAGTAGAAAGAGCTGCTGTTATCTGCTTTTACACTGCAAAGCATTGACTGGAACGTAAAATTTACAGAGCTTGAAAATGGCACATAAACGTTATGGGTAAATTTGGCAGAAAATGTGCCTGGTGCGATCTGGTCTTGAATAAATAATTTTCAATTACGGCCCTCATTCCACCAGTAGGCCAGGGGTGGTGACGTAGTAGGATGAGGCTTGGTGAGGGTAGGGGGGACAGTGGATCTGAGAGCTTGGGGCAGGGGGGCCTTGCAGCCAGACAGGTGGGACCGTCTACCTATCTGAGCCTTTGGGTACCCTCTGGCATCATCACCCAGCTCTGACAGGTGGGACCGTCTACCTATCTGAGCCTTTGGGTACCCTCTGGCATCATCACCCAGCTCTGCACCCTGTCCTGCTTGTTCCTCTGCAGGTGAAATGTGATCAGTACTGGCCAGCCCGTGGCACTGAGACCTATGGCCTCATTCAGGTGACACTGCTGGACACAGTGGAGCTGGCCACATACACCGTGCGCACCTTCGCACTCCACAAGGTATGGCCCTGCCCTAGCACTTGTCCCCTTTAAGGACAGCGGCCTGAGTATGGTATACTGGGTGGGGATGGGGGGGACCGGGAGTCTGGGTGTTGGTCAGGGGCTCAGAGGTGTGTGAGTGTGGTATGGCAGCCTGTGCTAATGGGAGCCTGTGGGCTCCTTCAGGCTGCCTTGTGTGGCTTCTGACTCCCCTCAGGGAGTGGTGGGTCTGGCCACAGTGGCAGGTCATCCTGCCCTGAGTCTGTGGCAGGCAGCCTCCCAGTCACCCTGTCTACCCCCACGTCACTCCCCAGAGTGGCTCCAGTGAGAAGCGCGAGCTGCGTCAATTCCAATTCATGGCCTGGCCAGACCACGGAGTTCCCGAATACCCGACCCCCATCCTGGCCTTCCTACGACGGGTCAAGGCCTGCAACCCTCTTGATGCAGGGCCCATGGTGGTGCACTGCAGGTGAGAGGGTATAGTGCCACCAAAGGGGGTGGGGGAGAGGAGAAGGGCCTCTGCCCCAAGCTGAGCCCATGTCCTGCAGTGCTGGCGTGGGCCGCACGGGCTGCTTCATTGTTATCGATGCCATGCTGGAGCGTATGAAGCACGAAAAGACGGTTGACATCTATGGCCATGTGACGTGCATGCGATCGCAGAGGAACTACATGGTGCAGACAGAGGACCAATATGTGTTCATCCACGAGGCGCTGCTGGAAGCCGCCACGTGTGGACACACGGAGGTTCCTGCCCGCAACCTCTACGCCCACATCCAGAAGCTGGGCCAAGTGCCTCCTGGGGAGAGTGTGACCGCCATGGAGCTAGAGTTCAAGGTAGGGCTCAGATGGGCCTGCTTGGCTCCAGGGCCTGGACTGGGTCATGGGGATGACCCCCACAGTAATTCAGGCCTGACCCACCTCTCCCTCTAAATAGTTGTTGGCCAGCTCCAAGGCCCACACGTCCCGCTTCATCAGCGCCAACCTACCCTGCAACAAGTTCAAGAACCGCCTGGTGAATATCATGCCATATGAATTGACCCGTGTGTGTCTGCAGCCCATCCGTGGCGTGGAAGGCTCTGACTACATCAATGCCAGCTTCCTGGATGGCTACAGGTCAGTATGCATGTCACTGCCCCAGCATACCCTACTGGTGCCTAGGACTGCACCTGTCTGGCTGGGGGCAGCAGAGTAGGGCCAACCCAGAAGGGCTGGGTAGAGCAGTGAGGCCTTCCTAGAGGAGGGGGATCTGAGCAAGGCCCCAAGGGCCTAGGCGGTCTCAGAGGACACTCTGGGGGCAGCAGCACCTCCAGCATGTCCAGTCTTATGTCCACCCCAGACAGCAGAAGGCCTACATAGCTACACAGGGGCCTCTGGCAGAGAGCACCGAGGACTTCTGGCGCATGCTATGGGAGCACAATTCTACCATCATCGTCATGCTGACCAAGCTTCGGGAGATGGGCAGGGTGAGCCCACCCCTTCCCCCTAGGGCCCTCCATGTACCTGGGAGAACACCAGCCACCCTTGGGAGAGATGCCCCTTGTGATACTCTTTTCACACCCTATCCTCCCGTCAGCATAACCTCAGACCCACATTATCACCATGTGAGGCATCCTGTCCCAGAATCCTCTAAAGCCTGGCATTCCCCTCCCTAATTTCTCCACACCTGACCATGGGGGCTGGGCCCTCTGTCCACAGGAGAAATGCCACCAATACTGGCCAGCAGAGCGCTCTGCTCGCTACCAGTACTTTGTTGTTGATCCGATGGCTGAATACAACATGCCTCAGTATATCCTGCGTGAGTTCAAGGTCACAGATGCCCGGGTGAGTATTGGCAGGAGTGTGTGCCTGTTGGCACTCAAGCATGTCCGTAATACTGCCTGAGCACATGGGTGGCGGTCACTGCCTGCACGGTACCTGAGCGCAAGCTGCAGGGACTGAGGTGGGGTGTGAGCACAAATCCTGGGGTGGCCTCAGGTGTAACAGCTTCACAGGTGCATGCCTGTGTTATTGTACTACCCCAGCCTAGTCCAGAGGGTCTGAAGCCTAAGGCATAAAACCTAACCTTGTCCCCCACCCACCTTTCCTAGGATGGGCAGTCAAGGACAATCCGGCAATTCCAGTTCACAGACTGGCCAGAGCAGGGCGTGCCCAAGACGGGGGAGGGCTTCATTGACTTCATCGGGCAGGTGCACAAGACCAAGGAGCAGTTTGGGCAGGATGGGCCCATCACAGTACACTGCAGGTGAGGCTGTCCCCATGGAGGGTGGGGGCAGGTGGGGCCCTGAAGGGCTGCAGACCCGCTGCCTGAGGTGAGCAGGACTCCTGACCCAAGTGTGTCTCTGAGCAGTGCCGGTGTGGGCCGCACTGGGGTGTTCATCACTCTGAGCATTGTCTTGGAGCGTATGCGTTACGAGGGCGTGGTGGACATGTTCCAGACCGTGAAGACCTTGCGCACACAGCGTCCTGCCATGGTGCAGACAGAGGTATGCAGACCAGCGTGCAGGGATAGAGTCTCCCCAGTGGCCCTCCCCGCAACCCTAGGCAGCTGACTACAGGTCGATACACACAGGCACATGTGTTCATTTATGCTGCCAACATATAACATTGCCTGCTCTGCCTAAGGTGCTCAAGGAATAAATGAGTGAGATGTGTTTGTTCGTTCAGCAGCTCTGTACTGAGCTCCTGTAGTGTGTCTGGCAGCAGCCCTTATGGGGTGTACAGTGTAGGTGCAGATAAACATGACTGGGGTGGCAGGGGGAAGGCAGGTAAATGTAGGGTCCTGGGAGAGGGAAGGGAAAGAGATGAGCCTTCAGATGCTCTTTCAGGCTTCCCTGGATACTGCCTGGGGCAGCTGTCTGGATTCAGCACCTGCTCTTGGCAAGCAGGGGCTCTCTCTGTGGCCCATTGGCTGCAGTGTGAGCTCCCTCAGCAGAGTGGTGGGGGTATCCACTGGTGCTGCCCCCACTGACCAGCCCCATGTCCCAGCAGGACCAGTACCAGCTGTGCTACCGTGCAGCCCTGGAGTACCTCGGCAGCTTTGACCACTATGCAACGTAACCACTGCCCCCCCTCCTCCACCGCCCCCGCCGGGGGGCTCCGGAGGGGACCCAGCTCCTCTGAGCCATACCGACCATCGTCCAGCCCTCCTGCACGGATGCTGTTGCTGGCAGAGCACAGCCCCCACTGGGATCACAGCGTTTCAGGAACATTGCCACACCCATCAGAGAACCCAGACAGAACACCCCTGGGCAAGTGGGCGGATGGCAGGCAGGCGCTGTGGCCCCTCTCTGTCCACCAAGCCCACCTGGAGCCCGCTTCAAGCTCTCTGTTCCGCTGCTGCGTTTCTCATGCTTCTTGTCATGGGGTGGGGATGGGGGCATAGCCTCCTTTTTTATACATTAAGTGGGGTAGATTGAGGGATTCTAGCCTCTTCCCTCTGATTTTTCCTATGGCAAATCCTTAACTGTAGAATGGGCCACCTTGGGGGCTGGGGCTTCTTTTCTTTTCTGAGTTCACTTCAGATCCTTTTTTTGTATGACTTTTACTGCTGAAGGACAGACCATGCCTTCCTCAGTGGAGCTGGAGCTGCCACCAGCCTGAGCACAGGCTTGGCCGTGGGCCCCAGAGTGGGCACTGATCCGGCCACTCTTCCAGCCCTTCAAACAAGATCCTGTTTCAGCCAAATGCAGGGAAACAATTTTTTTTTGTTTTATTTTGTTCTTCCTTAGCCTTTTTTTAGGCCCTACAGACAGTGGTGGGTGGGGAGGAGATAGGAAACACTCATCCCCAGTTGCCTATTCCAGTGTGTGTCTAACATTCACAGCCCAGAACCACAGATGTGTCTGGGGGAGCCTGACAAGGCATTCCTCATCACCATAGTGTTTGCAAAGGTTAAAAAACAAAAACCCACAAAAATTAAAGAACAAACAAACAAACAAACAAAAAACCCAAGGAAAAGAGAGTTGTCTCCTCATCTCTGCTTAAAACCTGCAGGTCCACCAAGCCCACCTGGAGCCCGCTTCAAGCTCTCTGTTCCGCTGCTGCGTTTCTCATGCTTCTTGTCATGGGGTGGGGATGGGGGCATAGCCTCCTTTTTTATACATTAAGTGGGGTAGATTGAGGGATTCTAGCCTCTTCCCTCTGATTTTTCCTATGGCAAATCCTTAACTGTAGAATGGGCCACCTTGGGGGCTGGGGCTTCTTTTCTTTTCTGAGTTCACTTCAGATCCTTTTTTTGTATGACTTTTACTGCTGAAGGACAGACCATGCCTTCCTCAGTGGAGCTGGAGCTGCCACCAGCCTGAGCACAGGCTTGGCCGTGGGCCCCAGAGTGGGCACTGATCCGGCCACTCTTCCAGCCCTTCAAACAAGATCCTGTTTCAGCCAAATGCAGGGAAACAATTTTTTTTTGTTTTATTTTGTTCTTCCTTAGCCTTTTTTTAGGCCCTACAGACAGTGGTGGGTGGGGAGGAGATAGGAAACACTCATCCCCAGTTGCCTATTCCAGTGTGTGTCTAACATTCACAGCCCAGAACCACAGATGTGTCTGGGGGAGCCTGACAAGGCATTCCTCATCACCATAGTGTTTGCAAAGGTTAAAAAACAAAAACCCACAAAAATTAAAGAAAAAACAAACAAACAAACAAAAAACCCAAGGAAAAGAGAGTTGTCTCCTCATCTCTGCTTAAAACCTGCAGGAGAGGAGGCAACTCCATGTGCCTGGAGTTCCCCAGGGAGCTGCCAGGCTGACCCCTGGGCCCCAGCGCCTTGCTTTTGTCTCCAGCGTTGCGGTATGCCATGGTGTTTATAGGCTGTGGAATTGGGCCATATGGCCAAGGTGAATGGCATAGGTCAGGGTGTGTGTCATGCCCCGCGCACCTCAGGGCCAAGTAGGGGCGTGGCTGCCCTTTCAGGTCCAGGCCAGTGGGCCTGGTAGCACATGTCTGTCCTCAGAGCAGGGGCCAGATGATTTCCCTCCCTGGTTTGCAGCCATTTTCAAAGCCCCTGAGAATCACCCTTTTCCACTCTTAAGATGCCCTCATAAACCAATGTGGCAAGACTACTGGACTTCTATCAATGGTACTATAATCAGTCCTTATTATCTTGGCTTGCTGAGGGGCAGGGAGAGGGCCTCTTCCTCTGGGCAGCACTATCTAGATAGGTAAGTGGGGGCGGGGAAGGGTGCATAGCTGTTTTAGCTGAGGGACATGATCCAGACGTCCCCAAGTCTAGCTAGGCTCAGTCAAGATCAACAATCCAGGGTTGGTAATGTTGGATGAAACATTCATTTTTACCTTGTGGATGCTAGTGCTGTAGAGTTCACTGTTGTACACAGTCTGTTTTCTATTTGTTAAGAAAAACTACAGCATCATTGCATAATTCTTGATGGTAATAAATTTGAATAATCAGATTTCTTACAAACTGGGCCTCTGTCTCAGCTCTTTCTGGAACCAAAGAGTCCGGACTAAGTCATTAGCTAGGTGGGTTCTTGAGATTCCTTGCTCATGAGGAGACAGTGAGGCTGTTCTGAGTATTTGTGACAGGCGGGTTCCTGACATGGCTGCTCACAGAAAGGAGTAGTTACAGTGTGAAGACCCAGCCTCCAAGGGCCAGGCCTGAGCCCTGGGTGTGTGTGAAGAGTACCCCGGACTGGGGAATATTCCCTTTGCCTCTCCTCCCCTGTAGGGTGCTATGGATTGCCATGTCAGGGGGTACCAACACTCCCTGCTCTCTTCACCTCCTTCCTCTACTCCTCCCCTGTTGTAAGGAAAGGGATGGCCTGTGGCAATAGGGACTGTGACCAGATGAGAACTGGTTAGTGAGGACTGTAGTAACTCTTGCAATATGGAAAGCGACACCAAAAACAGTGTGGCCATCTGGCCCCCGGACACAGCAACATCCATTTGCTGAGGCTCTCCGTGGTGATCAGACGAGTCCTACCAGGTTGTCAAATTATCTCTCTTCACCTCCTTCCTCTACTCCTCCCCTGTTGTAAGGAAAGGGATGGCCTGTGGCAATAGGGACTGTGACCAGATGAGAACTGGTTAGTGAGGACTGTAGTAACTCTTGCAATATGGAAAGCGACACCAAAAACAGTGTGGCCATCTGGCCCCTGGACACAGCAACATCCATTTGCTGAGGCTCTCCGTGGTGATCAGACGAGTCCTACCAGGTTGTCAAATTATGGAACTTCTAGGGATACAGAGATGAAGGAGACCCAGGGTAAGTCGGGAAGAGACAAGTAAGCAGTCACCACACTGGAGAGTGTCATGACAGCCCAACAGAGTGCTGTGGGTGTACCTGACCCTGTGTTGGAGTCAGGGAAGGCTTCCTGGAGGAGGACACATAAGCTGGATTCTGAGTGTTTCATAGGGTGAGTGGTGGTTAATTTCAAAAGGTGGGAAAAGCATTTCCAATGGAGAGAACAACTTGCACAAAGGCTTGGAAGTATGAAACAGACCTGTATATATGAGAAACTCCAAGAGATGCAGTCTAACTAGAGCAGTGAGATGCTGGGCTAGAAAGGTGGACTGGACAGAGTCAGATCACACAGCCGATGGGACTGAGTTGATTGTAGAAGGATGCAGGTGCCCCAGACATGTGAAGTGCCTCTGTCTTTAACATCCTGGACACCTCCATCATTGGTGGCCTTTGCCACATTCCAGTGTTGGCAGCTGTTTTCTCAGGGCCCCACTGTGAGTGGCCAAGGCCTGGATCCTGGTCTCTTCTAGGAATCCCCAGCACCTAGCTCAGGCCTGGCATGTTTCTATTTGTTCAGAAAATGGACACAGGGCACCATCATTGCATGATTCTTGATGGTATGAAATTTGAACAATTATTTACTAAAAGAATGATCCATTAAACATTGTCAAGTGAGGATACATACCAGATTTTTACTTGAGGATCACCAGCATTCACAACTACCCCAGGCAGGCTCTGCGCTAAGTACAGACCCAATCACTAATCCTTAGGACTAGCCAACAGAACAGATCCTCTTCTCTCCACTTCACAAATGAGGAAACTGAGGCTTACCTGGATTCACTCATCAGAGATCACAGTGCAGGTAAGCTCCAGAGCTGGGACCCACATCCACTGATGTCTGCTCCAGAGTCCCTGCCCTTGCCATTGCCTGGTGGTAGTCTTACCCCTCCTTCCCTGTCACTCCATCCCTGCCTCCAAATCCACTCCTCCAGGCCCCCCATTGCAGTAGTTGGCACCCCATCCACCCAGTTTCCCACTCAAACACCTCTCCCCCTTACCCCCACATTCATCTGATCACTAGACGCTGCCCATTCGGCCTCCTCTCACACCTGTTCAATTGTCCACATTTCCACTGTTTCTGTCCCAGGCCTCCCTCTCTTGCCTAGACAGCTGCCATGCCTTCTACCTGGTCCACCAGCTCCCAGCCATCCCATCCTCAACACTGCAGCCAGAGTGATTCTTCCTCACAGGGCAAACCAAATCACTGTCCTGAGGACCCTGTCAAGCCCTCATGGTCAGCTATAGCTGTCATGGTTTTCCAGGCTCTGCAGTCTCATCTTTCCTTCTCCCCTCTCACCCCTGCCCTCCAGCTATGACAAAATCAATTCTTTACATTTCCTGCCTGCCTCACCGGTCTGTCTCAGCTCTAGACCTTCCCACAAGCTGTGCTTCTGGAACATCGTCCTGCCGCCCACCACATGGCTAACTCCTCATTTTTGAGGTTTAAACTGAAAATATTTCCTTCAGACGCCATCCTTAACTACCCTAAATGAGGTCAGGTGACCCTGCTATGCAAGTGATTTGAAGTATATGTCATGTAATCCCCATAGCGATGTATGAGGCAAGTCCTATTTTGCCCATTTTATCTGTGAGAAAATTTGGTTTCGTTTGCTTATGCAACAGATACTTAATGAGCATTTGCTATGGGGTAGTCAGCATTCTGGGTGCTCAAAATACATCAGTGAACTGAACAAGGACTAGGCATTTATTCTCATGTATCAGGAAACAGATGATGCATATGAAAAGTAATAAATGTATTGTTTGTTAGAAAGTGGCAAGTGCTATGGGATGGAGGGGGGAGTACGATAAGAAGGATCAGGCACTTGAGGGAAGGTTTGATTATAAATTAGGGTGGTCAGGGGAAGTCTCATTGAAAAGATGAGATTTGAGGAAAGACTTGAATCTGGTGAAGGATTTTGCCTAAACATCTTTGAGATGAGCATCCAAGCAGAGGGAGCAGCTGGAGCAAAGGCCTTGGGTTGGAAGGTGCTCAATGTGGTGAGGCTGATATGGCCATGACACCCCAAGTAAGGGGCAAGAGTAGTAGAGCATGAGGTCAGAGAGGAAATATGGCCAGCTTCTTCACCATCGGGAAGACTTTGGCAGACATCCAGGTGTGGTGAGAAGTAGCCAGACTGTGATTATATGTTGAAGGCAGAGCTGATAGGATTTGCTGATGCACTAGATGAGAAAAACAGGAATCAAGGCTGACCCCACAGTTTTGGCCTGAGCAACCAGAAGGATAGTTACCATTTATTGAGATGAGTTAAGTAACCTCCTCAAAGGTCCCAACCAGAATTCAGCAGAGTTGGTATCACTCCCAGGTCTGCTTGACCTTGACACCAGGGCTTTTTCCACCCTGCTGCCTGCCTCAAACTAGACATAGAGTTGGATTCTTTAAGAAAAAAATATTTGGAAGGAAATACACCAAAAGGGTTGTAAGGATGGGTAAGATTTTTCTTTGTGATTTTTCAAATTTTCCATAAAGAGTTAATATTATTTATGAACAAGGAAAAAAAAAACTTTCAAAATTGTACAATTAATCCTTATTTTTAAAAGCAACAACAAAAACCTTCTGAATAGGATAGAGGTGTAAAACAAAGTCCCCTTCTCTTCCTGCCTCCCAGCTCCCTGGAGGGAGTCACTATTAACAGTTTAGTATATATCCTTCTGGGCATTTCCTATGAATATGTAAACATGCATATCAACTCTAATTTTTTATATAACTAGAATCATATTATTCATATCTCTCTGCAAGCTGCCCTTTTCATTAAATACATCATGGACTTCTTCCCATGTCGGGAGCTCATTTTCTTAACTGCTACATACTCTTCTGTTATGGATGTACCATAATTTTTTAAATGGGTATCAGTATAGCTTTTCATTACAGAAGAAATGGATGCATATGATAAAATAGATAAAAGTAATTCAGTCTTGAGGGGTACATAATAAAAGATAAGCTTTCCTCCCTCCTTTCATTCCCTGGAGTTTCTGATTTTAATTCTTCCAATGGGAAACATATGCCTTTGGTAGATAGTGTCTGTTGACTCCTTGGCTATAAAATTGTGGGATTTCGTCAACTTACGTGACCTCTCACCTCTACCTCCTGATTTTGTTAGATATGTTATTATTTTTAATTCTTCTGGAGCTCATTTCATTATTTTAAACAGTATATTTAAACAGTTTATTGATTTATCACCTTTAGGCAGTATCTGTTGATTACCCTCAATGGAAAGTGACAAAATTAGCTCACTTTCCTTGATTCCCCCTTCTCCTTCCTTCAGCTACCATTTTTTATTTCACATTGTCAAGGTTTATATTACTTTCTGTTCTGTTAATATAGTTAAGTCATTCTAAAAATCCAAAACCAGTAAACATTTTAATTATATGTTTATGCAAAATCTTTCAAGCATTAATTTCAAACAAGTTCTCTTCTGATTTTTCCTTTATCTCCTTCACTTCTGGATCGTACTCACCCGCGCACTGTTGCTCGTACAGCATGTTAGTCTTCCTTGGATTCTTTTTCACTTTGGTGGAATAGACCCCTCACGTGATTTTTTCACATAGGATTATAAACTGTCTGATGCTGGCATGTCTGAAAATATCTTTTGCACTCATACCCAATTTTAACTTTGGTCTGGGCTTCTTTATACAAGAGAATATTCCCCAGATACTTTTAAAGATATTGTTTCTAGTTCTGTATTAACCAGTTGCTGAAAGAGGAGGGTTGTATGGCAACAAATTACCCTGATATTTGCCCCGTGTCCCACTTTGATTTTTCAGTTGTAGATCCTGAGCTTAAAACCTGTTCAGGCCTCTACTGGAAAGAACAACCCTTGCCTCTGATATCTTATGTCCATCAATCTGATTCCATCTGCTTTCAGGATTCTTATTTTCAAAAATATTTTTGGTGTATGGTTATTTGAATGTCTACACTGTTTTGTTTTATTAATTTTTTCTTATTTTCTTTATTTATTTATTTAACTTTGCCTCTGGCCAGTACAAGGATTGAACTGTGGACCTTGGTGTTATCAGCACCATGCTCTAACCAACTGAGCTAACTGGCCAACCTTACATTGTTTTGTTTTGATTTTTTCCCAGATAATTACTTGTTGTATCACCTTTTTCCCTGCACTGATTTGTAGTGCCACCTTTTTAGT